GCGAAATGGCTGAGGTCTCGCACGCACAAAACTGTGAAAGCACAAAGTGAACGTGCAGGAATACCACCATTATTCCAGGAATTGAGTCACAATTAATTGTTACATGTACGGCATGCTGCGAATCTTTACATCTTTTGAAAAAACATGCACTGACGAATTACGCCACGCGCATAACGCGGTGAACTGTAGCTAAATCATAAGACGGAATTTGGCCAAGGAAACACGCTTTTCTCAATTCTTGATAAATGATTTTCTAAACAAACATTTGCGGCTTTTAATTAATTAAGCCGTCAACCTGGCTGATGTGATAGAATGTTTCATTTCGTAAGTGCAATCAACAATGCCCGATTTGAACACAGGAAATACAAATTGTATAGACAAATTGAATTCGGACTATTTGTCATCGGTGAAAATAGCTTAATTGCTCAGACAATAACGACAATAACAATGGAACCAGGCTTTACTGTTTTACAACTTGATCTTCTCTGTGATTCTTTTGCATATACTAGCTTAGCCAAAAAAAGCTACTGGAATTGACGGTCGCGATTTTTCTAAAAAATTGCGTTCTGTGTCCCACTTTTGTCCCGCTGAAATCTGGAGCATTAGGGTCGAAGATTTCCCAGGAAACGCATGTGCATCTGTATGTTGAAGCAAACTTAACTCCGTACAGTGTTTATTAAGGATACTAGAATATATGCATTTCACATCTGAAAAGGTAGCTATCGTAAAATGAAGCTATGGCAAGCTTCACCCGTCATTTCCCCTGGGATTTACTTACATTGTCCAAGTCGCATGACCATGCTGCATGACCATGCACGCTTGATGTAGCTATACTAAAAGAAGATGCCGCAGTTGAAAATTTCAGGACTTCGCATTCCTCGCGTGCTTGAGCGCCGTTGACGAGGATAGCCCCGTAAGACGAGGATAGAGCCGCAGCGCAATCGTACGATTGGTGAAATCAAACTGAAGAAGATTTTTGCCCGAAAAACGGTACTCTACTTCGATCCGATGAGCATTTTTTTTTCAAAATTTCATCCTATAGTCTCAGGTTTCTCCAACCCATCACGCATGCATACGATCGCGTTGATAGGAGCACTCCGTGGAGCGTTGAACTGTTAACACATCAAGAGTTGAGATTAGGGTACATGGGGCGTCCGTGCGTCACAGGTAATATTCTTAATGTGCCAAGAAATTCAACCCAGATCGCTAGTTGTTTACGTGTTACGAGCACGGTCTATTTTTGGCGTGAGACGCTCGGGTCCCCGCGTAAACAGTGCGTCGTACTGGTAGCATTGCGCACGATATGGTAATGTACTAGAGAGAAATTGGACGCTTTTCGTAAAGTCGACAAAGGTATGCACAATTCGTGTGAAGTATGCTATACGGTTGACTGCGCTATTCCGTGACCGACTTAATTTTGCGCCCAGCTGTTGCGACTGCGTGGTGTGCGTTGTTTATGTAAAATAGATGCATAGATAATTGCTTTTTTACATGTTCTGTCCCTGGATCGCGCCGTACAATGGTGCAATGCTTAGCGAATTAGCGAAGGACCGTGAAGAGAACGTGGAGGAAAAGGTACTGGTTTAACTTCAACAGGTGAACCATTGCATGGGTAAGCTAGTGATGTTATCTTCCTCGTTTTCGCCTAAACCCAATAAATACTTCGTACTACTTCATATTTTAACGTGACATGAAAAATTAGCATACTACTCAAAGAGTATATGACACGATCTTTTGGCGTATGGTAATGCAGCATTTGCACGCATATACATTACATCGTAGCTGCTCAGGGCAAGGTTTCATTGCTAAATCTAGACGCGTTGCAAATTGCGCACCATCTGCACTTATGACCTTAGGCTATACAAACATCAAAATATCCACTATGATTGGAATAGATCGTTTTTAAACGTCGTTCGACGTTTCTTGATGTCGAAAACACATGCAAGGCACGTTTCATACATTCTGGGGGATATGTTTGTTTGGGATGATTCCAGATCGAATGGTTGATGTTTGAAACATTCGAGGCAACATCGACGTCATCACACTAGCAACATTCATCATTAGCATCTATAGCAAAGCCCACGGTCTGCCCACGAGTCGTAGCAAGTAGACAGACATAATCTTTATAATTCCGATATGATACGCACGGTCTGTTTGTGTTTGGCGTATGTTCCATCAGGACGACGTATTTCTTACTCAGTATAAAAACCGCAAATACGTCATGCGAGAAAATGAGCTACTTTCATAACCGAAGATGTTTACGGTAAGATGTTTAAAACGAAACAAGCTTATGGCATCAACTTGCAAAGATCTTAATCGTTGAAACACGAGACATTAAATTTCTGAAGAAATTTCGATTTTACTCCCAAGGGCTAAGTCATTGCAATTAGGTCGAGAATCATCAGAATTTTTGTGTCCCATGTTTCAAGAATTTTCGTATAAAATATGCTGCACGATTGAAAGTAATTGCCTTACAGTTACAATTACGATTACACAACTAGTTTGACTAGAAAGTTATGGTACACTTGCTCTTATCTCGTTAAGAGACCCTATGCCCAACTGAGACACAGTATATTGGACCCTGAAACATTTTCAAAAAATCATAGTGACTATTTCATCGCTATTTATTCGTTTTAAACGGACGAGAAAACATGTAAAATAATATTATCATTATTAAGACGCGTATTTATGAAGCGAAAAGCAAATGAGATCTGTCCACTGATGAATTTATTTCAATTTACAAGTTAAAAACTACTCGTGAAATGAGATTCAAAACTGATTGAAAACCGAACAAAATGCCTTAAACTGATTCATAAAAGATACAACAGATTGTAAAAGTTTCATTTCATTAGAAAGTTGATATGCGACCTTCATGTGTGTTTATTTTGCTATAAAAAGCAGGTCATTTGGTCACTGGAGTGAATAATTCCTTTATACAGCTATAAGCCTATATTAGGTTTTTTTTATACAAGTTTAAAAAATCGAATTTGGCCATCTTTGTCAACGCGTCTTGCCATGTAAGAAAATGTTTACATAATAAAATGTTTATATACATTGCTTGGGCAAGCGCCAGCCAGTTTTAGCCCAGTGAAGAGATTCCCGGAAAAAAAACGATGAGATAATATCATTCTAACATGTCTGGGTAAAGTCCGTGCGGGTAAACAGACCCTGAGATCTGGCTTGACTCACATGATGGAGATATAGCTATATAATATGAGAGCTTGGTTTTAATCACGGAAATCTAAGTCATTAATACAAATAACATTTTCCCCAGGGGTGCTGTGCGGACAAAAAACTGATGTCAAACATGAAAATTCACGCAAATAAAGTCGATATTTTTCCTGGAAATATCAATATTAGGACTAGCTCTGTTAGGACTAGCTCTGTTAGGACTGAATCGTCTGCACGTGTGTATAAAACATGTATTTCACTGTGTTGCCATAAAGACTATAGACAAGATTTAACAGGGAGACTAATCAAATTTCCTTCAGAGTCATGTGAGCACAAGAAACTAATGTAAAACATAAAAATTCGCACGAATAAAATTGACATTTTTCCCGGAAACCTCAATATTAGGACTAGCTCTATTAGGACTGAATCGTCTGCACGTATACATGTATTTCACAAGGTAGACCTAAAGACTAGACAAGATTTAACAGGGAGGGTAATCAAATTTTCCCCATAGTCATGTTCTGTAGCACTTGCTGAAAATTAATCTGAGGGGTACGAATTTTCTGCATTGGCGAGACGGCGATATTGTGTCTTTGTATGGGTGGAACATTTTAGAAATGCTGTAACTATTTAAGAAATTATAACCAAAAGATTATCTTGAAACTTTGATGGGTTATAATAGAAATTTTGATGGATAGGTTAACGTCTTCCGGCAAATCTAGTTTAAACGCCTAGTTTGGATAGGAAAGAGGTATTGTTTCAAGACAAAATTATCAATGGTCATACACCGTGGGTGTCAGTTATGGTCCTCTGTCAAAACAAGGTTATAACACTTATAACTTCCACCAGCCAATGGAATAGCATGTGACCGGATATAGAGGATATAGACTGTTTATGATCTGGCGTCAGTTTGCTATTGTATCACTTTTGGCTCGTCCATCGCAGTGCTAATTCTGAGCTTGGTTTGAAGCAAGATCACATGAAACGGTATTTCGTGATTTGGGTAAATAGAAGTTTGAAAATCGAGCAGTAACTATCATCCTGCCGAGTTCGTATGAAAGGCTTTTGAGATTCCATGACCTCCAATTGAGAAATTGAGAACTATTCACATTAATACAGAAAATAATTTTGGGGCATTTCGACTGGTTTTTTCACTGGGAGTCTGGTGTTTAGAAGATCTTGTCGCATTGTGGGGATGAGATTTGAAGACATTCTTGTACTTCGTTGTACTGAAATCATTTGAAATTTCTGGGCAAACTGGTCGGAACAAGTCAGGTGACTATGTTGGTAGAGCACCAGTCTGGTTTGGCAGCAATCACGACAGCATTCCTGGAAATCCATTTCCAGTCAGACCGGTCTGACGACGAAGCTTAGCGAGACATATAGGGGAGAGGGGAAACTCCCTTTAATAAATTCGCTAATCAACTCCCATGAATAAATTCGCTTACTAATCAACTTCTATGAATAGATTCGCTTATAAATCAACTTCTAAGAATAAATTCGCTTACTAATCAAAACCTTTGCGCACCATGGAACCCCAATTAAAATTTGTTTCATTTTCAATGTTCACTCTCTCGACATACATGGGATGCAATTATCAAAACGGGAAGGTCTTTAATAACATTTCTCACAAAGCAAAATTCAAACATCTCATTTTTTCCCCTTTTTTTGATCACGAGAATCTCCTCTTTGACTGACAGATATAAAATTTCCAGTCACACCTGTTTGGTAATCAATTGCATGGGAAACCCCCTTCCATTGCTTTCGATTACCGTGAAAATTTTCAAGACATAAACCTAATGCTCACTTTCTCCTTATCTCATTTTCAGAGCAATTTGACGTAGCTCCAAACCATGTCTGCAAGAACTCTAAAGAGGCGTTTATACGACTGGGTTGCATCATGGAGTATATCCTTTCGACGAAAAGATTCAAATTCGAGCGCTTCGTCGACGACTCACTCCAATTGTAGTAACTTTAGTTCGGCTGAAAGTACAGTTTCCGTTTTAAAAAGTAGCACCACGAGATTGTCCAGTTCGAACATTAAAAAGGTGGTGCGGTTTGCGGAGGAGGACGGCAAGGTGCTTACACAAATCTTGAACAATAACGAGCCAAACAAAAACATTTTAGGGTCTTTGGACGAGTCGCTGGAGGACGTTTACATGAGAGACGGTGTTATAAGAGGATTTATAACTGTGAAAAACTTAGAAGCGGGAAGACAAGTTTTAGTTCGCTACACCGAGGACAACTGGCTTGGGTTTAAACAAGTGACATCAAAGCGTGTACAGAGAACGATAGACTCAAAAGGTAGACAACAGCTGAGGGAGGTGAAGGAAAAAAACAGCAGATTACCGAGACGAAGGAAACAGGTCGACCCCAGTTCCGATTGCACGTACGAAAAGACATATTTCTTCAAAATCGAAGTCGACGAAACGAAATTGAATGATGTTGAACTAGTTATAATTTCGAGTTTGGACAATGTGATTGACACAAATCATCGACAGTGTTATTCCTTCAAGTGTGTACGGCGAAGTTGGGAGGCAAACAGCACTGTGTGTTCGAGGTCAAGAGATGTAAATAGCAGTTCAAGGCAATTATAGGTTGGTACACATCCATATATATACTTTGTGATAAAGGGTTTCGTTATCGCTGAATGCATTGGCATCATTGAGGGAACTTTGAGGAGGCTTACATGAAGTAAGGGATACCAGATTTCGAGGCATTTGCGAGACTGCGAAAATAATATAAAGAAAAAATGTTTTGATCTTGATTGGCTACGAGGAGTACGTACTTAAAGATAACTAACAATGAATATTCTTGTTTCATTTAACAAAGAGTTCTGGTAATTACGTCATTCGAATTAGCGGTTAAAAATGAAACTTTTACAAACCGTTCCCCCGCTTTTCGACGTTAATTTTTTTGCCAGATTTTACTGTTAGATAACTCAGAAGATGCTAAAATACTTAGACGTAAATACATTTTTGAGATATTTTGATAAAATGATAGTTTTTTGAACATTTTAAAATCGTCTAGTTTATTCTGATACACCCCTGTAAAGTATAGTTACACTTCTTATAATACGTATTCTTTGGTTCTGCGTGCAGGGCCGTTTTGATGTCAAAATGCCGAAATTTCGCACGTTTTGAAGTTTTCTGAACATAAACTCGAATTCATATTCTCATTTAGAAGCGTAGCGAACCTAAATAGTGTCGCAGCTCCTCGCAAGAATGATTTTCATTGGCTGAACTTTACAATACATTTCTGTTTCAACCAATAGCATAGCTTTGTTCTTGAGAAAGCATAGCTTCGTTCTTGAGAAAGCATAGAAAAGCATTATCCAATTGGACGAAAGCCTCCGAGCACTGCGACATGTCCCGAAATTCACACAGAACATCGTATTTTAATAAGTATTCGAAGTGTAAACATAATGTTTTGCGACCGCACCTAAAATTGCGGCAGACGCCTTTAAATCAAATATGCCAAAAGGGTTGAATAAACTCCAGACATTCTGTCGAGTGAATCAATCGTGCTGATAATTGCAAGCATTTTGCAGCTAAAAAAATCACAGGAAATGTCTGAGGGTCTAAGGAAACAACGATTAGGTGACCTTACTAATCTCTCTAGAGTTCTTAAAAGAAATTTTTGGCCTTTTTTAGACTGCAAGTGTTGACAATTTGGAATATCCCTAAATGCAATATGGCAGATCAAACTGACGTGAAGATTTAGCCTTTGAGAATATATTCCTCTGGCGAAAACATTGAAATAAAGTTTGCATGTGAGTATATAGATTATAGTAGAAACTTTATATCATAACTGCAGTTTGTAGTGTCCGTCGTAACAACATAATCGTTTCCATTTGTATAAAATAGTATAATATAAAATTTGCCAGAGAACAACTGTACATACATATTATAGGTATGTTGCGAATATGTTTTGCGACTAAATATATATATATATATATATATATATATATATATACATATATATATATATATATATATATATATATATATATATATATATATTAGTTAAATTCGTGGGATTTTACTTCCATGACCTTGAATATATCAAGGTTGATTAAAGCCTCTTAAAGGTGAGATTAGTTCCGTTCTGCGCAACTGTTCTGCGCATAACAATGTTAATTAATGGCGACCGGCTGAACTAAAGTTTCCTCACATGCACGACTCGAATTTTTCAGAACAGAAGCTCTAGTTCATATTTACGAAGATACATAGCATGTTAAACTTTCCGACAAGGCGTCACAATTTGAATAATATTGCAGTTCAGAGTGTAAACAATGCATTAGCCATTACGGATTTTTCATCACCTTTAAAAGTATCGGCTTTTATTAATAAACTGACAGTTTTATTATAGAGCAAGTACTTGAATTCAACGTAAGGTTTTAGATTCTCGCCTTTGCTAGTGATGCATTTGAAGGTATATAATCGATAAGGTGTAAAAATTTGACACTACTCACTCATTTTTCTGAATCAGAACACGAATTGCTGGCAGGTTTCCGCTGTTATGCTTGAAAATTTAACAAAATATCTCCACTTTACATTTTGAAGTTTATTCGGCTTTTATTTGTTTAAAAAATGCACAAAATGTTACCCATTATTTCAGCATAGCATCTTGACCGCCATTTTGTTTTGAAATTTTAAATGCCTAATTTTAAAGGCGTTGCCGCTGATTTAAAACGCGGTTTCGATTAAGACGCTCGCTTTTGATTGGTTGTTCAGAAGAGCATCTCCTTTTTGATTGGTCCTTCTACAAAGTTTTTAACGTATCTTTCAAATGTTTAAAAAAATGTGATATAAAAATATTTTCATATGCATTTATACTACCAAAGGCACATTTTAGCCTTTTGAATGATGGTTTTAAGGTAAATTACAATCCTAATTAATATCGATGAAATAAAAAGTTCACCACGAAAGTTAAGAATAACCTGAGAATGCCGAATTCAATAGTTTTGTTAATCAAAATGTTAAAAATAATAAATTATCGATCTTGAGTTATGCTTAATAGATTTCCCTAGTTGGTTTTTTAATTTAAAGAGTAGTAATTCGTCTTAAAACCAACCATTCAAAAAGCTGAACTTCACTTTGCAGACCTAAAAATGTGAATTCATTCTTAGATCAGCAATCCAAAAGCGAGATAATCAATTACTACATGTTTGTATAAATCATGTAGATTTAGAAATGGTAGGTTATAACAACATTAGGGCTGAACAACAAATGATGCAAAATTGACATCCATTTGTCATCAGCAAAATAGGACTTACCTTGAATGACCAAAATAGTCACTTTTTAAACGCATGGCAATTGAAAATTGTCACAAGTCGTAAGGTACTGTATAACGCAAATTCCATTCACACAATGGATTTTAGGATGTGGTTGTATGTTATATATTTTTATAGTTATTTGTTTTCGATACTGTTAAATTGTGTCAAGATGGATAAGCTAAGATTTGAGGCTTCTACAAAAAGCTATCCAGCGTTTACATAGGACAAAAACTGGTTGACGAAGAGTACAAGTACATTGGCGTGTTGTATTATTGTAAGACATAGTAGAGTTTCTAATTTATTGCTAGTTTTTTTAAGTGTCGTCAGTTTATCGTGAGATATCTCGAATCGCAGCAAAAAGAAGAAAAAGGTTTTGTAAGGAAATAAGCATTCTTGTCACAAAATGAAATTCAAATATTCGAATTCCTTAGCAAACGTCCTTTCGGAGAAACGTTTCATTGTTTTCTTAGAAATATAGTCTTGTGTGAAACTGACGTACACAAAGGTGCAGTTGTTACGAGGTGTAGTGTAGACGCATGTGAGTACTTAGTATATTTGCAAAGCAAACTTTAGTTAAATAGACAACAAATAGATTCAGCTCATTCTGACAACTCGCCATAGCCAAAATTTTATAGTTTCATCTTCAGTTAAATAGAAAATGTCACTTGTATATCTAAATTAATTGCACTATCAATTTTACATATGAATAAAGGTGATGTCGTCAGGATGGGCTGAATCGCAAATGGCAATGTGCAAAACTGATTGTAAAGTTGTTTTAAACATTCCTTAAACATCAGTAGTTTGTATGACAACTTCTCTCAGTGAAGTAAAAACTGTATAAAATAAAATATATGGGATGAAAACCTAGTCTATATTGATATTGGTGCAGGTATATTGCATATTATTCGAATACATTAAGTGTGTCCGTTACTAATTCTACAGTTAATTGATCACCGAATGTGACAAATGTTATACTTTAGGTATATAAACAAGAATTTTTAGTAGTACGGATACAATTAGCCAGAAGGGAAAGTGTACCCCTCTCCCTTGTTTTCTGGGCCCTCCCTTCCCCCGCCCGCACAACCAATAACCATCTTTAGATTGTCCATATTTATTACGAAAAGTATAACGAGTTATATGTATATGTATATTCCTAGAAATCCGAAGTACGTCTCATTGTTAATATTTTAATTCCGAATATTTATAGAAAACTTCGTATTTTGTTATTGTTTGTACCATAGGCCGAGTTTCACACCGAAATGGTGTGAAATAAACTACTTCAGCGCTTGTTTATTGTAAAATGTTTACTAATTTATGTTATCCAGTATAAATGAGGTTATTATACTGTGAATATTATCACGTAAATGTCTCCAACATTTGCTTGCAAGTTTCGACAATTTGAAAAATGCTATAACTAAACATTTATAGTTGTATTTGGTATTTATAGTTGGTTTTTATCGATAATCTAAATATTCATCTCCCCCATAATAAATATACTTTAATTTGAGTCAGCACGACAAATGTTAGGCTGGTTTTCGATTGGACTCTGGAGATGATTTTTTTGCGAAGCAACATTTACTTTTGTTTCAAACCTGTCAACTTTACCATCTGGAACAAATCACGTTCGAATACAAAGGAATAAAATCGCTTCGCGCGAAAAATATCATAAAAACAGGCCTATAACCCGTTATGCCAACATCCCAAGATTCAATATTCTTTATCTGATCTTATCAATCTTAAATCTCTATCTTAATTTACAGACAATGCATTGTTGAATTCGAATGAGTTATATATTGCATGTCTTCCATCAAAAATCATAAAATCTACCTCGTCATATCTTGATTGCAACTTCACGACTAATCCAAGCTATCCATTTCCCGACTTTGCTTATCCTTCGTCAACTACCTCAATATTTTTTTCTTCACTCTTCTACTTACTTGCCTTCAATAATTTCTTCTATCAACTTGCGAACCTCCAACCTTTGTGTATTAAACTTTTACGTTTTTCAACTCGATTCCCGTATTCGAGTCTAACGTAGGCTCGTTTTGATAAACCAGAGAGTATGATTTTTTCATCGATTTCTGTCCAGTTCGAACATTGCATCCTACCGGCTTTTTGTACCTAGGAATAACAGAGAAAATATGAATGATACAGCTATCCTGTGTATATTCTGAATGGATAATAGACCAGCTTGTCATCTAAAGTGGAAGAAGGAAATAAATCACCACAGTTAAAAAAAGCATACCAAAATTAGTACTATTGCCAAGTTTGGCTGCAAAATGTCAAGTGGTATGGAAAATATAGCCATGTGAAGTTAGCAAATCTGTAAACTAAATTAGTTACACGCTTCTGGTCGTAGTAAAAAGTATACAAAACTTGGCTATATTTTCCATACTTTACAATATTTCGCAGCCAAACTTGGCAATTTCAAGTTTAGTATGCACTTTTCGAAAACTCCCTTTTTGTCGCCTAAATCAAAAGTTAATCCCTTATATGCAAAACGTGAATTGAAACCTGTTTCGATAATAAAAATAACTCACAATTTTAATAAAAGCGACGAGAGTACAACTGAAACCGAAGAAGCAGCCATCGCCGCAGATGCCATCCAGGGTTGCAGGGTAACTCCGAGGGTATGGAAAGCCCCGGCCGCTATTGGAACCCCAACCAGGTTGTATATTGAGGCATACACAAAGTTCAATCTTACACGACGTACTGTGACTCGTGATAAATCAATCGATGTCACTACATCCATTAAATCACTCTGAAAGAGAGATGAGAAAGTTAAGTTTTTCTCAAAGTCCTCTTAAAGCACTGACAGTTGAAATGTCAACAATTGTGTCGATTTTGAAATCCGATCTTATAAAAATATTCATAATCAGACGCACCTTAATAAGAACGACATCGGCAGCCTCAACAGCAACGTCCGTCCCAGTCCCAATGGCGATGCCGACATCGGCGGCCACAAGAGCAGGCGAATCATTGACGCCATCGCCAACCATGGCAACCGTGTCACCGTCAGTTTGAAGTGACTTCACTTTATCTACCTTGTCTGAGGGCAGGACTTGAGCAAATACGTGTTTGATTCCAAGCTGCAAGACACGAGAAATTATAAATACCACAAAGAAGACTACCGCGGGCAGAGGGGGGAAGAGGTGGGGGAGATCTATAGGTTGGGTGGGCAAGTGCCGGCTGTCAATCAAGACTATTGATCAAGATCAAGCCTTTATGTGGAATGGGATTTATGACCAAACAAATATTTCATGATCTGACCATTTCAAGGAACCTTAAATGATGATGGAGATAATCGCAAAGGACGCTTAGAACCCTTAACCCCAATCTTGAAACGTCCTAGTTGAGTTATGATATTGCTGGCCTGGTCGCTATAAAATATTGAAAAACTCTTCACGCGTGTCAGGCCCAAGTTTTGAAGCATCCTAGCATGAAATAAACCAAAACTGAATTCAATCAGTCAGGTTACCCACCTGTGTCGCTATTGCCCATGCAGTTTTCTCATTATCCCCAGTCAATAAGACGACTTTGATTCCCATCTTCTTTAACGTCGAAACTGCCGTTGGTGCGTCCTTTTTTATCGTATCTGCCACAGCAATCATGCCAATAAGAACACCTACAATTCGGGACGAAAATGGAAGGATGTCAAGGACCTTTGAGTAGGTAGTCGAGGTGTTGTGACTCTTGGCTATGCTCTATACACCACATTCGAAAAAAGACAGCCGGTCAGACATGACAGTAAGCTGGGAATGAGTGAGCCTGTAGTACCTACCGTTGATCGCTATAAGGACAGCGGTATGCCCTTTGCATTCATGTTGTTCCATCGTCTCGTCCATATCCTTCGACACAGTCAGTCCGTTCTGAGCCATCCAGTTACGATTTCCGATAAGTGTTGAATACACTTGGCCTGTGTTTTCTAAAACAAGATTGCTGGTATCTTATAGCGTTTCACGAATACTGCCTTCTTAATTCAAACATATTGTTATTTACCCCTTCCCCAACACAGAAAATGCAGTTTCACAGCTTTATTTTTAACGAAATACTCCATCTCAATTCAAAAATATGAGCGGTTAGGCCATTTTAGATGTTAAAAGGATTAGACAAGATCAAGACTAACGCCTGTATTCAAAAAGCTCACTCACTGATCAATAAGAAAGTTTTTTCTGAATAGATGGAAAGATATAAGGTAAATCACTGAAAATCAAGCCCCTATTCGGCTCGAAATACCGCCATTGAAACGTTATGAGAGGATTAAGATCTCCCACTTAATGAGTTTGAGTGTGAGTGAGCTTTTAGAATACAGGCGTAAGTTTAGACAACTTTCAATTACCATTGCTAGACGAAGGTATCGCGTCGGTATCCGAAAGCCGTTTCTTTTCTTTCATGATAATTTCGACCCCGGAAATTGTACACTGAAGGCCAAAACCCGGTACAGCTTGGTAATCAGAACACTGACCAAATTGTTCTGTCTCAAGTATCTGAAAAGCGGGAAACAAAAGTTAGTTCATATCATAACCCAGAAATACAGTTAGCAGCACTCAGCTTCATATAAATAATTATAGCATTTTGTGTGGTTAGCAAGACTGAAAACTCACCAGCATAGAACTTACCCAATGCACTGGCCTTAAATTGTTGCTATTAAACAAGACTTTTAGCGCGCAAACGTAATGTAACAGGCACCTTTTTGAAATTGAGTATCAGCTTTTCTGTTTTGCAAAAATTATGCTTTTTAGGAAGAAACTCTCTAGTTTTAGCGGGCAACTGTTCCCAGTTCCAAGACCAGATCCTCCTCTCGTTCACTAAACATGAATCTCTAACAGGGGGGCATGGTTTTCGCGCATGCGCCACGTACCTCTTTGGCGTACGTCGTGATGGCAGAAGCGATGGGATGTTCGCTGTTTGCCTCCGCTGTACCGGCCACGGCTAACAGCTCGCGCAAACTACAGACTTCGGGTGCCACGAACAGCGCTGTTTTCATAACCGAAGGACGGCCATGAGTGAGTGTTCCCGTTTTATCAAATACAACTGTCGAAACCTAAAAAAATCGGCGAAAAATTCGTCCATATGTTGTGAACATTTACAAATATGAGATGACTATCCAGTTTATGTTTATAAATCAGTTACTTGAAAATCTCAAGATGACTGTCCAGTTTCCGTTTATAAATCAGTTACTCAACCTTATGGCATGTCTCCAACGGTTCCCCTCCTTTGATTAAGATTCCATTTTGGGCACCAATCCCCGTGCCGACCATGACCGCGGTGGGGGTGGCTAGGCCCAGGGCACACGGACAAGCGATAGAGAGAACTGTGATCGAGGTTAAAAATGCAAACTGAAATATCACTTCATTGTCACTGAACTCGGGCTAAAAAGAAAGCTGGAGTGTGAGATCAGCGCTCATAGAGTTCACTGGCAACGTTAAAAGTCAAACATACCGATCAGGGGCCAGTTGTATCAAGCCATTTTAGCTTAAACGGTGGATAATTCAAAATTAAATAACGCTCTTAGATCTCTCTTGAATGAGTCAACTTGAATATTATGGACTGAATATGTAGTTGTAAACAGTATTTTTGTATTGAGGTGAAAACATTTAGTTCGCTTGTTGAATAAAACGATAGACTTGCCTTGTATTTTGAACTTAACCACCGTTTAAGCTAAACGGGCTTGATACAACCGGCCCCAGGTTCATACAATCATCAAACGAAGTTATGCTTCACTTGGGTAAAACAGGTTAATACTGGGTCGACTGTATATACTTACGTCACGCGAGTCGGAGATAATGTCCACATCCACGTAACCAATAATGATCCAGATAATAAGCGTGACACATGATAAGGAAACTATGACGGGAACAAAATATCCGGCTATCGTATCCGCCAACTTCTGGATTGGTGCCTGTTGGAAAAATATTTGCGGCAAGAAACCAAGAAGCTAGTGAAGATTGGTACAGTACGTATCTACCTAATACGGTTGAGTTTAGTGAGCAGTGGTTATATAATTCGTCCTTTTGAAAATCAATTTCTATAGTTCAGTACTTAGACCTTCAAACAATTTAACGGACTGTTTTTTCTTCCCTAGCCGAGGAAAAAAATCCGGCCTTGTCAAGAAATATCATTACCTTGGAGGTTTGAGCTTCTTCCACCAACTTCACGATTTGCGACAAAGTTGTGTCTTTGCCTACATGAGTTGCTTCAACAACAAGCGCTCCATGTTGATTGATAGATCCTGCAATCACCCGGTCGCCGGGATGTTTTGGCACCGGCATTGGTTCCCCGGTGATAAGCGCCTCGTCTGCCATCGAGGATCCTTCAACAACACGTGCATCTACCGGAATTTTTCCACCGGGTAAAATCTAAGAAGTGATAATGTGCAATAATTTGGTGTTACACTAGAGCTTGGTCAAAGGCAGCTATCAATAACTGATATCCAATGCCCTTTACAGTTAAAACTACATGAAGTATCGACCTTCATACCCCGCTTTGAACTTTATGAATTTAATCGAGTGTACAAAAAACATAGGTTTTAAAATGCGACGGACAATTGATAGTTGGGTACCCCAAGAAGTGTATATTATTGAACATCTCTGACCTTCTCTACCCCGTGCCGGCATTCCATAATATCCCCGTCTTCAACCCCAAATTACCTTCAATATATCTCCTCGTTGCACTATATCAACGTCAATCATAGCCTCACTAATGATATTTCCTGTGACTGGATCAACTTTGCACAGCAGAGCTTCCATTGGCTGCAACGAGAGGAGCTTTCCGAGCGCCTCGGAGGTCTTGCCTTTCGCAATGTGTTCCAGCCAACGACCAAGTCCAATAAAAATAAGAAGTGCTGGAGGGGTTTCGAAGAACGTTCTGGGACTTTTGGAAAACTGTAAGACCATCGCGACAAATAACACAGCGACCTTTTGAAATATATTTCAATTGATCAAATCAGTGTTTTAGTCTATTTAGCTTATTATTATATCTTTTGTTCCATACTTACCGAGTAGACGTATGCAATCGTTGTCGCCAACATGATCAGAAGATCCATGCTTGCTGCTTTATGTTTCAGAGATTTATAGGCAGAAATGTAGAAATTCCGACCGCCGATGAACTGTAAAGTGACGTGAAATTTTAATGTAGCTACTACATGCTACTTGTACGGATAAACCAATCATTGAATCTACTTTCTTTTTGAGAGCTTAGCAGAATGTAGTAACAACTGATCAAACTGGGTGATCTTAAACAGCGGGAAAGGACTGAGACAGGTTATCAATAAAAATCAATCTCTAGGTTGAAACAACTTAATATCTCTCAAAGTTATTTCGGTCTCAAATTTATGTCAAAGCTATAGTTCTTATAAGTAAAAATAATCGATTAGTTTCATAAAGAATAACAAAAGATATAATCGAATAAATATGGCAGGATGGATTTTCATTTCGCCAACCTTTTGTTGATTGGTTAAATTATGAGCGAGAGATCACGTGGATTACAAACTTCACGTGAGAGCTTTTTATGTAACTGGATGTCTAATTAACATTACGAGCTAATCCGTTTAGTAGATTGAAACATGACAAAACCTCAAGATACCTGTACAGGGGTACACAAAAGGAAATAAAGTAGGTTCTCCAATGAAAGTCCAGAGATGATATCGAGGTGTGGGTCTTTACCATTGCTTTTTAGCAATGAGAATATGATCATACATATCATGACAGGAGCACCAAATACAAGGGATATAAGAAATGATCTCCTCCATCTACAAAAACAGTAAAAGTTATGTATGTGCACAACTCATGTGCCCACTTATCAACTCACGTGCGTACTTATCAACTCAGTTATCAACTCACGTACCCCTTCATCAACTCACGTGCCCACTTATCAACTCACGTACCTACTTATCAACTCACTTATCAACTCACGTACCCCTTCATCAACTCACGTGCCCAGTTATCAACTCACGTGCCTACTTATCAACTCACTTATCAACTCACGTACCCCTTCATCAACTCACGTGCCCACTTATCAACTCACGTACCCCCTCATCAACGCACGTGCCCTCTCGGTAGCTCTCGTTAAATTTTGATGCAACTTGATAAGAATTTTGTCACGTTTAAGAGATTGAGCATTTGACCTTATGAAACTCTTGCTTGATAACTTGCTTGATAACTTTAGTAATCCTGTCATTCTGGTTTGACAAGGACACGAAACTCTCAGACAGACTCTCGCCTGCTAATCATTAAACTCTCACCAACTTTCATCCAAATTTGCTCGTGATCTTAAAACTTCACTTACTTTGATATTTCCGACTTATGACTGACGTGTTCTGCGGCGTTTTTATGGTCGGCTAATTCCGCCCCATAACCGAGGCCAATGATTAGCTCCAAAATATCCCTGGGTCCGACTTTCTCTGACTCGAACTTGACACGGGCCTTCATACTCGCAAGGGAAACGGACGCTTCGAGGACTCCGCTTCGTTTCAGCAAGTTTGACTCGATTAGTGAAACACACGATGAACAAGTCATCCCTTTAATCTAACGAACAGAGAAATTTTGACGTGAAAAAACCTAATTAGCCAGAGTATCAGATACTTGCTCCAAATGCTCCTTTTCGAGAAGGTTTGATTTGTCTGTGAGTTTTCAAACACGACTAAAGCATGGTTTCTAGTTAATCGCATTTGTTGCGAACATGTCAAGGTGGTCGAGGTATTTGCATTAGTGTGCAGTCGACAATGACCGCGATTTTAATACAAACTGAAACAAAGAACAATTTAAATCCGGACTATTTCATATCGTCCTGGGGCCAGTTGTATAAAAGACTAGTTAACTTTCAACTGTAGTTAAGGACAGAATTGGCCATCAGAGTTCTGTATTTCTTAGTAAACTAGGATTTAACTATGTAATGTAGTTAAAGAGTTTTATACAACCGGCCCATGGACGACGATGTCTAAATCTTTCCTCCATGTATCTCAAAGCTTAAGATAACTTAAGTAACCTACCAGTATTTCTAAAGTGACTGTTTCATCGTCATAACCGATCACCTCTGCTTCATAACCAATTTCAACGACTTCGGCGACAATCTGTTCAGGTTTGATCAACGTTGGATCATATTTAACTTCTGCCTTCTGTGCCAGTAAACCAACCAGAACAGACTGTATACCTGTAGGTTGGCAAAGTATCAAGTGAAAAACTGCAGTGAATATTACTGTGTATCTCAGAATCGGTCATTGCAGATCGGCTTGAATGGATTTTTTCGTTTTTCCATCTCACGATACTCATGCTAGTTTCATCAAGCCAAAAAACTGGGCAATAGTTAAAAGCGCGCGAAAACAATAGAAAAAGAGTGCGAAAACAATGGAAAAGAGCGCGAAAATGTCAACGGAAACATACGAACGTGAAACGCCGAAGGGTGGGCGAAAGCAGAAGGCTGGCGGATAGTGGAAACATGCAATCCAGTAATGATGTAATCCAATAAAAGATAACCAAAGCTGGTCATAAACAAGCTATACCGGTAACCATCTAAATAATCACATTTTAAGTTGAGTAACTATTTGATATATGCTACTGATTGTTTATCAGAAATCTGAGAGTTGATAAACCCAGTCAGGTGAGATGTATATTATTTCCTTCCTAGAATGCAGAAAAAAAGTGCCAAACACATCCAAAGGGGGGAGGGGGAGGGGGCTATGCTACACACCACCACAAACATTTGAATATTACTGTACCATGTTTTTTCCCCAATGTCTTTTCAATGAGTGATACACAGGATGCACATGTCATTCCCTTTATTGTTAGAAATACTTTAGCATCATGTGGTTTCTCTACTTTACTTTGTGAAGACTGCACTAGCTCAGTTGTATCTAAAAACAATGAAAAATTACCATTATTCCTCCTGTTTCCCAAGTAATTACTTAGTAGCTTACTTAATGTACTGATATTCTTTAGAAATCCATGACCAATAACATTTTTATAAAAGTATTTTGAATTTAAAATGAAGCCCATTAAATTTGCCATATAAATTTGAAACAAAATTTAATGGTAATCTGAACCATACCTTTATGCGACTCATTAGTGGGTATTTGTTTGTCATTTGCATCACTTGCTGGCTCCTCTCCGTGCTCGACCACAACAACAGATTTTATGGATGCATCAAAACCCATATCTTCAATTTCCTGCATGAGCATCTCTGGTGAGGTTTGAGATGAAGAAAAGACAATGATTCCCTCTTCATTGCTTAAAGAAACATTGATGGATATGACTCCAGGACATCCACGCATGTTTTGCTCAATTGTTTTCACACAAGAGTTGCATGTCATTCCAGTGATTGCAAAGACTGCTCTTTTGGTCCTGCTCACTGACTCCATGCCATAGTTGTCCATCTCTGACTCGCCCTAGGTGCAACAAGTTACAATAAGGGGCAGTGCAACAGGGAGGGTAGGGTTAGAAGCAGGATCAAATTGAATGGCAGCAACTCAAACTGATCTGTAGATGCCATTCACATAATTCTTGAATAAACCCTCATTCTAAGGTAGCCAAAATTTACTCTGATTAAAGTAATGTCAGCTAAATAGAGGAATGCAAGCTAACTAAATAGAGGAATAGAGGTTGATTTAAAAGTGAGTGAATTTAGGACACCAGTGACACCATTGTGTTAATGTTGAATTAAAAACCATTTCCTACTGAGACTACAATGGTTTGTTAATGAATGGTTTATCTTAATTAATGAAATGGTTTGTTATTGAACAGGTTGTCCTAATTATACTATCAGAATTGGAAAAGCATTCCCCACTGATACTACAAGGATCATAGAAACCATTTCCTACTGGGGAACTGTTCACATGAGCCTGGTTACAGAGATTTAACAAAGTGTAAAATGGATTTTGAAGTATTCAAATAAGTCTTTGAAACAGAACAATCATATGCTATTGTGAGTATGATTACACAACTACCAGTATGGTGTTATTTGCTCATTACAATACCTCAAAGTCCATGTTAAATCTCAGTAAACGGGCTCATGTGAACAGCACCTGAGGCTAGAATGGTCTGCTATTAAATGGTTTGTCTGAATGAAATGGTTTGTTATTGAATGGTTTGTCTTTATTAAAGCATCAGAATTGAAAAAGCATTCCCCATTGAGGCAACAATTTATATCATAGAAACCATAGAAAAAATCATAGAAACCATCAAACCGTCCTCCTCTGAGTCTACAGTGGTTTGTTATTCAATGGTTTGTCTTAATTGAACCATCAGAATTAGCTAAACAATGCCAGTACCCCCGTCACGTTAACACCGTCACATTAGGGAGCCCAATGAGGAAGAAATACAAGACAATAAACCCAAATCCCCTGACTTTTAGCTTTCCAGTTGGTCTGGTGCCAGACTATTTTTTTAAACTGAACGATGCACAAGTACGTATTGCCAATTTAATCCTCACACTGCAAATGTGCCACGACAAATCGACAATGTGTCAATGTCCCTAAAGTTCGCTTTTCGCTATAACGGGCAGATATCTTGGGTATTTTAAGTGCTTTTTTATTCAGCCGTAATATTAAATAAGAAAGAACTGGCTTAGTGTACGAAAATGGAATAATAGAACTGATAGAAGCCTACTACGATTAAGATCCAGTTGAACCCAATGGGAATGATTGAACCCGACTACGGTACCCGGGATAATCGCTGGAACAAATGCTTTGAATATATAAAGCTGATCTAGATACTAGCATACCAATAAACCTTGTTCCTCTGACGGTTCCATGGTATCTGACATCTTCGAACAGCAATTTTTTGTACATAATATTTTATATTATACTCAACAAAGTGTTTATTGTGGTAATCGGTGGACCGCGACACCCCCCCCCCCCCTTTTCAGATCGCCACCGCAACGTTGAGGACGCCACGTGATGTTTACAATTTACGGTTCATTTGAAAGTATTGCGAATTATTTTAGTTGGCGCTTTAGCAAAAGAATGTAAACCGTAAGGTTGTCAATCAGTTTATTTTAACATTATCCTTAAACGAAGGCCTGTTTTGGGATCAACTTTAAATCGTTTCAAATCGCGGGGCAAAATGTTGCATATTTTTGTACATCCCATGAACCTTTATCTTATTGCCTTAAACCCTCTTATTTCATTACTCCAATTTTTTCCCTTAATTGCATTAACTTGCATTAATGAAATTGCATTAAATTTATTACTGTGCTAACTTGGCACTGCCAAGGCCCAAGGAGATACTATGTACCACAAACAACCAAGGCTATTCAGATGAATGTGAGGGGGGACGACCCCTGCCTCACAGGGTCAGTTTTACTTTTTTAACTCTTTATCAGTCGCATATTCACGCACCTTTCTTTTGTCATTTGCCCCTATCCCTGAGTATTCTGTACCGGCTATTGTATAGTTTTGCCTGTTGCACTGTATGTATCAAATTCCTGACTATCCCGCGTACTTTGGGCCAAGAATATCGCCACATGATCGTCAGAATCGTTCGCAAATTTATAGCTAATAGCTATGTGTTACTTGCGCAGATAAAATCACCATCTCTCCCATGAGATTAAATAAATTTCGACTCCTTATAATCTCCACAAATCATCTTTCTTTCTGCACACTTAGAAAACGCGGTAAGTTAACCGAAAATAGTACGTCATTATCAAGAGGATAAAAACTCCCCTTCTGTTCATTTTGCACACAGAAGCTAGAGCCATAAATGCAAGGTGTCCAATTACCCTCTTATTGACAATGACAGGAAATATTCGTATTAGGTTTAAATTAATATCAGTCACGGCTCTCGAACCAACATGTATCACAGCAAGTCAGCAACCCAATTTAAATACAAAATCTACACAAAAACGTTTAACGTTTTAAGACGAAGAGAAATATTCCACGGGTTACTCCTTCACTGAAGCGTGCTTTTTCTTATCATTGCGAATCTAAATCTACATTCCTGACTTTGATTACAAGCTATATTTTTTATCCGTGCAGTTAAACTGTGTGGATAACGAATAGTTTCTCTCACGCCTTTGTCGTTAGTTTTTCACTAAATATTGAGTTTGCTATTGCGCATGTTTCAAGCATGAAAGCTAAGCAGTTGTGAAATGTTGTTGTGGTTCATATGTCGACACGAAATCATAGTAACACTTGAAGCGTTGAAAGCATTACCCGCTTTCTTTGCTTCGATTCCATTCGTTCGACAGAAACATTGTATGAGTCTTTTGTTTGTAGAAATGATGTACATATAAAGTAAAGGGCTACAAGTTACCACTACTTTTTTAAAAAAATGTGAAACATCTACATGTTTGTTGCATTGTTTCATTTGTTTGTGCCCCATGCCTGAAACATACCAGAATAATTTCAAACGAAACAACTGCGTGAAATACCTCAAGCATCTAATGATTCATGCTAGTTGTCGCAATAATGAATTTTACAAAGTAAACTGTAGACTAACCTTTCAAAAGTATCAATGGAAATTCTACAATTCGTGACTTTTAGTCTTTAAAGATGAAGTGTTTGTTTGTTTCAAATACGGAACTTGATCTCTTCGACACAATTTTAATCACATGACCAAAGTTTTGCATCTTTAAGTATTTTAAAGGTGTCGAAGAAGTCATGTGATTAGCAACTGACACCTTTAATTTATTTGAATCACGTGGACACTTAGTGACATTATAATATAAACGGAAATATTTAGCATTCAATAAAGGTGGGGTAAAGTTCGTAATGTAAACAAACATTTTGAACATCCTTTTTAATTTTGTGTAATATATCATCATGTACATTCAAAATATATAACATCAGTTTGGTTCATTCTAGTTTCTACAGTCCACTTTACAAAATGTGATCCAATTTTCAAATGATATTTAAATAATAGATTATGCAACAATATATCTTTCAGAATAAAATATTCAAAAGGAACTCATGGCATAAGTGTATTAAATATGATTAAAGCAACTCGTTATTATATCATGTAATCATGAACCGACTGCCAAGCCACGCGCGAAATTCGCATTGTTCAAGACAGATTCTCAGAAACTGTGTGTACGGCTTATCAGGAAAAATAATCGCACATACGACAATTAAGTGGAAAGAACAAAAATGAAATTCATCATTTGATATTTTGCCAATTTATCGAATACACACTTACAGTCGTTTACACTGAATATATGTAACACTATTACGTGCCGTGGTTTTGTAAGAAAAAATTTAACTTACCTTACGACGGACGGACGTTACAATGCGACAGAATTTACTTCGCATTACAAAAACTTTCAGAAGTGTTTAGTGTCTTTTATCGAGAAAATTAATGAATTCGCTTTTCCGTCTTCTTTCTACTTCACGACTCATTTGAATACGCATGACGAAAGTGTTGCACCTTTAAAAGTTAAAGGAGACGAGTCCTGGTCACGTGTTCACTGTTTTTCTAATCACTTATTTGGTGAACGGCGATGACTTGCAAATTTAAAATGATTGACTCAGAATGACTAAGCAGTTTACGTTCTAGAAAAGGAATTCAAGGTCATTAAAAGCTGAGTACAAGTTGTACACCACGTGTAATGTCTTGAAAATCTTTGTTTTCATTTTGAATCACTAATATTCTAATCTATATTAAAGCATGGTTGGTTAAAATATTTTATTGTTGATTTTATTATCCATGATAGCAAATTTGAGAATAATTATGACAAATACAACTATACGAGCATAAATTATGCTAATTACAAACCTGTTTAGCAACATGGCTGCTTTTCGCATCGCGGTGCAAAATGTGCTCAAGTCTCGTCTAATTTCTCCAGTTTTGTCTAGTAAATTCACTCCTTTGAGGAGAATACACACAGCGTTGCTTCTTAATTCAGGTAATCTGTAATTATTGCGCCGTCGAATGTTTCGGAAGCAGGTTTTAATAGCCTAAACTGATTGGCCCCATTATGGCAATTAATATGAAGTTTACTTATGGTACAATTGTTTAAATGTTCTTACGCACATTTAAGTTTTAACATTTTTTTCAAAACTTGGAAAGTGGAAATGGAAAGTGGTATTACAGAGTAGCATGATTAGAACTGATCGTTATAGAAATATTAAAAACATGATTAGAAATGTAGGAATTCTTGAAATATTCCACATCAAGGGGTATATTATAAGTTGACAATAGGCAATGGTGTATTTGTTTTTGTAATCTAGAAAGAAAATTCACGAAGGAACATGAATGGATTATGGTGGAAAATGATGTTGGAACTGTAGGAATCTCTGATCACGCACAAGTAAATAATAGTATTAAGATACTAGTTACTACATATACCCTGACTGGAAGTTGTGTGCCAGGCCAGTATCTCAGTTGCGAGATACAAACATTCCACACTGGCTACCAACACTGTGTCCAGATCTGGTAATTTTTATTGCTAGATTCGGTCAGATGCATATAGGTTTTAAGTAGCTTGGGTTTATAAAATCTTCATATATGGTCACACTGACTACCAACTCGGTAGTGTGATGCAGCAAACATAATTTGTTGTTTTCTTTTACTGAGACTATTTACATTAACATTAATCAAAATCTTTAACCAGCCAAATAAATTGTAATAAATTATGACACAGTCTATATTCTTACTCAGAATCAGTTGGGTGACATTGTCTATGTTGAATTACCTGAAGTTGGGAAAACTATTGAAAAGGATGGTAAATACTAGTTGTTGTTTATTCACTGCTATTAAAAACTTACTCCTTAGGAGGAGTATTGCATTGTCTGAACATAGGAATCCCAATAAATCTGGACACTATTTGAAATGATAAAAGTTAGCGATCACAGACGTCAATGAACTCACAATGCAACTGGACTTACTTTTAATATTTCAAATAATGGATTTATTGGGATTCCTATGGTCTGAATAACTAATATCTTTTTCATACGCAGATGTTTATGGTGTTGTTGAAAGCGTAAAGGCAGCAAGTGATCTGTATTCACCTGCTTCAGGTGAAATTGTTGAAGTGAATGAAGATTTAAATGAAAATCCTGAATTAGTGAACCAAGAACCTTATGATGCTGGTATGTGCATTATGCATTAACACCAGGTGTGGTTGTACAAAAACTGGATAGCGCTATCCACCGGCCGGATGGTGGGTTTTTCAATCGCTGTAAAATTCCCCATCGTTTGGTACAACCTGACTTGAAACTTAGTATTCCTAAATTGAGGAATCTCCTCAATAGTTGTGAGTTTTAAATCTGTATTTTTATTGCTTTTAAGACATTTTTACAACAGTTGAAGATCAACTATCTAGTGGATAACGCTATCTACCCTTCGTACTGCAGCCCCGTTGTTCTACTGTAGTGAACTAATACTTTCTTACCGTAACTTATTCCCAAAGGTTGGATTGCAAAATTGAAGCTATCAGACATATCCCAAATTGATGAGCTAATGGATGCAACTGCATATGATGAATTTGTAAAGGAAACAGAGGAGGAATGATATTTTTTCACACATAAACAAACATGAAAACACTGTGTTGTCCTAAAGCTATACTCAGTGTAAAAATATTTGGAACAGTAAAGCCTAAAGCACAATTTGTTCTATGTTAATAAAACTGTAACTTGCTCTGAAGTAAATAAAAACAAGATATTGTTTAGTAATGTTTTGATATAGTGCTTTGACTTCGGCCTCACTTACAGCTTTCCTGGTTCACAGTTTCTGTATTTATTTCACATTTATCTAATCAGATTAACTTACTGGGAATGCTTGAAACTTATTTTTGTATAGAATTAGATTATTGCCACGCATAGTTGCCAATATTTGTATTTATTCAATATTTGTAGTTGTGCTCATCATGATAATACAATGAAATATAATATACTATTCTCTATGTTAACTTTATAAGCCTATAAAGTTTTTATTATTTACAATAATTATTGATAGTCTTAAGTGTTTCTTATTAAGTCTGTGCATCACCGCATTGCCAGTGAAACTACATTTATCATACAAACATTTAGTAATACATGTATTTCTTCCACTCAAAAACCTCAATATATCTTGACTTTGCTTTAGAGCTTCATAAACTATCTTTGTACGATACCATGTAACAACATCAGGTAATGGCATAATGACTCAGCCACATTATTAAGGATATATTAGTAATCAGATTAAATTTGTTAGAAAGTCCTTTTCACAGACAAGGATGTCATCAGATTCTGAAATAACATGGCACTTTCCATTTTAATGCTACATCAAAAATGCTTATTTATTGTTCTCAGTGTATCTTAGGTACTGACAAATTGTCTTAATTTAAAAAAATACATACCTTTTCAGTTTCTTTATTAGAGCAAAAGTAATGTTCAGAGGTTTTAAGATTTCAACCAATTTGACTTTGAACATTCAACAATTTTTCAAAATGACATCATTGTAAGGAAAAGGATAATAACATTATGCTCTAATGGTTGGCTAAAACAACACCTTACGTACAGCATTTGCTATATCTGGGGGTACATTAAATGTTTTAATCTCAGAGTCAAACTGCTTCTTAGAACCATTTTGTCCAAGGTAGCCATTGAGGCGAGCAGCAATCGTGGAGTCCTTTAACTCTTCATTATTCACTTTTAACATTGCCAAGATGCCATTGTGAGCTCGAAGTCTGTATTTTTGATGGTAACTGAAAGGATTTCATAGTAAGTAAAAAATGGTGGGTAAGGCTCCCTGCCATTGAAAACATGCTGTGTGGAGACCCTTGGGATTAAAATCAACGAGCAATCATGCACTTACTATCCATAATCTCAATGTATGTGTGCTATAGATTGATTGGTGAAAGAACAAAGCCAGTGTTAATGAGTTAGATGGACTTACTCTTCGGCATCATAAAAAATATCAGCTGGAAGGATGTCTGTAGCAACTGTTTTTTTCTTCTTGTTGTACTCTTCTTTTGAACTTTCTTCAGCTAACCTTTTCTGCTCTTCGCTGTGGTAGAAAATTGCCGATTTATATTGAGGTGATCTCTTTTGTGTGTAATCATGGCCATCCCAAAACACTCTCAAAAGGTTACTGTAGTTAGTCACTTTTGGATCAAATTCCACCTGAAGTGTCTCTGTGTGATCACCCCTAAAAATATATTGAGAATTTATTAACATTATAAGTAAGACCTATTAAAGTTAGCAAGTTGAAGTCCCTATACCAAGTAAATTAAGCCATTAGTCTCATTACCAATTTACACTCAGCAGTACCAGTTTTCACTACTCTGAGCAGATATATTTGTATCAATGTTTAAAATGTAAGTTGCCAAAATCAGCATGATGGTTTTATCAAGCAACCAGCATTTATCATTAACATCCAGATAGGCCAAACAAGCCTGCCAAATTGCATTAGATGTAAATAAACCCTAAAGTGGTTTACGAAAACCACAAGATTCGTAAACCACAAGACAATCCCTATCCCAACACAAGTCAGCTAAAATCCCCCAAGAGGATTGCTGTTATTTCAAAGCTGTTTTCACTGGGGGAAATCAAGCTCTGAATCAAACAGACAATTTTGTTTTCATCATGGACTGGAGAAAATAACTTCCCTGGAGATCATCTTCCAGAGTGGGATATCCGAAATATTTTCCAGACATTCCTCCTATTCTTTTTAATCTATTAACCATATTGCCCATATCAGGTCATACCAGACGGTCACGTTTAGAATATGATTGAACAAATAGGCTAGCTTTAAGTCAAACTATAAACAAAGACTTTAAGTCTCAATAAACCATTCTTTTCATGAATCAATTTCCTGACAACGTGCCATCATATACATGATAGTGTAGGCTTTAAATACCTGCTTAAAACCCAGTTGTCACTTCTATTTAATAATATATAAAGGTAAAATTTGCTTTAATATATATACTTCATACATTCCGCTTCAGAAAAACATTAGTGACTGAAATAGATCTTAGATAATAGATATCGATTTTCCATTTAATGCGAGTTTGTGAATTCGTAATATGACAGGTTTCGATATATTTGAACATCAGGTGTTTTTTGCATGTGCCCAAAAATTACTGCAATTAAACAAATGTAAATACAATGAATTTTTAGCCCATTAATGGTCGGCGATTGCAAGTCGAAATAAGTACGAATGGCTATGGTTTGCTCGCACGGATTATGGAAATTTTGGGTCACGTTTTAAACTATCAAAGAAACTTGTCTCTTCAGCCTTTTTTTTACAGCCTGAACTAACGAGAATCATCAAAACCGAGCAACCACAAATCCGCAAAAACCTTGTTGTCACAGGCTACGATTATTACATAAACAAATCTATTATATCAATTTCTGATTTTCAAGATATAGACTATTTTATACGAACAGCATTCTTGTATATTAGCCACAAATATATTTACAGTTTGATGTTTAACATTTTTTAACAGGCAGTACGTGCAATGTTTTTTGTTCATGAACTTTCGCAATTTATCCCCAGGAGTTATCCCTGTTCGTGTGGTGAAACTGTGAAACCAAATTTCCCCGAAATATTTTGAGAATATTTCGTTGCTAATTGATACATTTTCAGTTTAAAACTAAATTAATCGAAATTTCGAATCTCGAAATGGTAAATTTGCGGATGTGCTGTTATTAGACGCAATTTAAAAAACATCAACTCTTGTAACTGAAAATATAGCAAACATCGAAGTATTTAAAGGCAAAAATGCAGTACGTGGTAAAATTACAATCGATATACTTACAAACTTCTATAAGTCGGGTTCTTCTTGTGTCCGCCAGTGTAGCCAACACGAGTTTTAAGAATCCCCGGGACACAGCCGAACTGTGACTCGGGGAACCAAAATCATCCCATCGCAAATGTTGCGGTTTCGGTCGCCTTGAAAATCTCGCTAGAATTCATAGCTTTCCCCGCCGACGCAACAGTTGTATTCTTGACAAAGGTCCGGCCCAAAAACGAAAACACGGACGACATGAACGGTAAGGCAGCAATGAAAGAGAAAAGCACAACAAACGAACTTATAAATCCGAGTTCATGAACCATTGTCTCCAAGTCCTTCAAGTGTTGATCGACAGGTCACGATTTCCTAAGTAGGTGCTCTGAAATTCCCTAAATTCCTCAACGTAACTCCGCGCTGTTTTACTCTGCTTTTTCTTAAACATTACTCATACGAATGCAGACATACAACTTCGATTGAGTATTAAAATCAAATAACATATCTCTGAGAGGAATACCTTGAAATGTAAAAAATATGAAAAATATCGCTGCATTCCTTCTTGTAAGGATAATGTTTTTAGACACAAGTACTGATGACGCAATCCATATGTCAGTGTCAAAACGTCATCACGTTTCATGTCGGTTCAGCTATATTTGCTTTGCGAGGGCGTCTAAGGCGTCTTGGTCTCTTTTTGTCGGCCATTAACCTTTGTAGATGTCATAAACGTTGACAAATATTTTGCAATGTTTAGCAACAGATCGATTTAAATAGAAAGTTGTGAAATCTTCTGCTATTTCAGTCCTGTCAGTACCAATCCAAAACCGTCACTCCTCTTCACGCGAAAACTGCTTGCCATCTGACAGGCACGTCTCAAAATTGCACTTTGAACACAGCTTTAAGAATTAGACAACAACAAAAGATTTGAATGGAAGGAATGGAAATAAACTGTTCCCTTGAAACAGCTCCATTTAAAATTTCGTCCTGACGTGATAATCGACGTCTCAGTATACACAAAGTAGGTATAAATCAGGCAAATATATTTGAGATAACGCCAATTTCCACTGGTATTTCCGACGATTATTAGGCGCAATAGTATCACAGAGGAATGCGTGTTACTGTCAAAATTTGACGATCTACAGAACACTGTACGGTATTCATGCTAATCAGACGAAATGTCACTTCTCTCTGATCGGAATTTGCGTAAAGCCTGCGAAAATTATGATCACATGTAAACGGACTAAACGAGTCGTTTGGCGTAACTTTTTAACGCAAAGAGCCTGAGTTCCGGCATTGTGATCTTCAGTTAAAATTACACTCCCACTGGAACTTTGAAACGGGTTGCGGTCACGGATGCGGGCGTTCGTGCTTCCCAACGGTTAATATTTCGAAATACAGCTGAATGCGGCTTGCCGCTTGCTTAATTGTTTCGGCTGTCTTTATATGAAGATATATATTGAAGGACTGGTGTTAATATTCACTATTCAGACCGGAGCAAAGTCAGCAAACCTCACGGCGGTCATGCTGTATCCGTTTCGTTTTTCGCATTCGTCTGTTGTGCTTGTGATTGAGAGTCGAACTGACCTTCTATCTGTTTAATGTTCGAGCCAAACACTTAGTATGAACTGACGCACGTTTTTACATGACAATCTGAGGGCTTTTTCGTTTCCATTAACGATCAAGTATTATGCACATTCAGTTAAGCTTGCAGTTGGAGAAAATACGTGATCTGTAACAACGTTGTCATGGTATTGATAGGGGGAAAAAATGCACATGCAATGTGATTCACGATTCGGGGACACAAAAATAGACTATGTGTCCTTGATGTTTCGTCGTATACTTCACTCTGCAGCAGCCAAAATTCTAACTATAGCTAAGGCAGCACACAGATGATACTATAATACTGAATACACCAGTCCAGCCCAACTGATCTACAAAGTCACTTCATTGAAATTGAAGCGCTTTAATTTAGATGCTTTAGAAATTACTAATCCTTTGTATTGCAAAAGGCATGCATATAGCCTGATTCTCATGGTCATCGACATCTGCGAAGGCTATTGGCGTCGATGATCACTGCATGGGGAATAAATTGAGTGCTTAATTCTGTATAAATTTCTTTGTCACCAGCCACGAACAATGAGAACCAGGTCTGTTGGTGACAGGCCCAAATATGTGAACAAAATAGACGTGCCGGAGATTTTAACCCCAAAACCCGACAACTCTTCACTCGACTTGCCTGAATGCCTTTTCCACGAAGAATAATTGAGTCAGGTACCCCTTGCTTTACGGTCTTTGCTCCGTACGTGATACGTATAATGATATTATCGCCTTATCAAAACTTGCTTATATTATCATAACTCGCTTATGTTATTACAACAAATCGATCTGTCATTATACAGGAACATCATGCACATGCAATGATTCGAGATTTGCTATGCAATTCAACAATTGCAGTTCAGTCCTCGATCACCTTGAAAAATGTGCATGAAATACGAAATCTAGCAACTTTGAACATAAACAAACTATGGTTTTCTTAACGTTTTGTCAAGACCGAAGATGACATAGATATTGACCTTCTATATAAATGTCGTGATCTTACAAAGAGCGAACTTTCGCTGCATTACAGGTCACGTACGGGATAATCCATCACTTGGGCAATATCCCATTCAGTGTTTTTGTAACACTGATCTGCGTTTCATATCACCGAAATATGACAATATCTAGACTGAGTGACACATTAATAGCCCGATTTTCGGAGCATGGGTGGTCGGATTCAATCAATAGAATTCCTGGATTAAATTTGAACGTATAATAGACCCAGGCTAACTAAACCTTTTTTTTGAATTGGGTATGTACCCTGTGAAATCAAATATTCCATGTTTCAAATATTCCGTGTTAAAATGGATTAAAATCCTACCATATCATTAATTTCCGACCTTAGCCTTGGATTTCCGTCATTAATCTTGCGCAAAATCCCAACGTTCTTAAAACCACTCAAAAGAATGTCCGGCTTAGTTGAAGCGTTATACTGATCTATAATCCTATTTTGTCTATACGTGCAGTTAGCTATAGAAATAAGCCAGTCTATCTTCAAAGGGGGGAGGGAGTTTTCGTGAAGGGCATTTCTGCATGTGTGGTGACGCATAGAGGAGACATTTTTTGTTGAGCTTCATTTCATCGTGTTTTCTTTTTTCAAATGATTTCGATGTCTGGGTGATTTTCACCAGACGATTGTACTATTCTAGTATTCTTGAAGCTCAACTTTTACTCCGGATATAGAATGCACCCCTTGCTCTTGAAAATTACTTCGGTTCCCATCGGCGTTGGGGAATGGAAGGATTCTGAGAAGCAACTGTAAAAATCACACATACCTCACCAATGTGGAACGTATAAGTGCATAAGTTCCAATATAACCAGGGAGCAGCGTGCCAGCGTCTTCAAACATCTTCTTAGCATCGAATCTGGTATAACAACTGCCTAAAATAGACAAAACACTTCTCTCTTCACGACGTTTCGACCTGAGGGCCTTCGTCAGGAGAGTTAGTATGGAGTATGGAGAGTCACCAACTCTCCTGACGAAGGCCCTCAGCTCGAAACGTTGAGAAGAGAGAAGTGTTTTGTCTATTTTAGGCAGTTGTTATACCACATTTGATGCAAGTATAAGTGCATGCATGCCACTATGGTAAAACGTGTTCTAAAAAATGCCAGAGATATAGGTAAACTTCCAAAGGTGATATTCAATGAAGACCAATTTGCGCGGCCGTATTTTAATTATGTTATACGTAGGACCTGCCTGAAAATCACTTTGCTGTGAGTGTAGCTTCCTACTGAAATATTGTTATGATAATACTAATATATATTGGATTCAGTTGATCTTGAGTGTCTGCGCGGGCGTGGATTATTGTATATAGCTAAAGTATATAAACCTGCATTAGGCAACACAATTGCTTACATCACGCGCATTTTGTCAAGTGGATTGGTCGAGATATCCACGCGGAAAATAAATAAACGACTAAAGGTACTGTTACACTATGGAACTTTCCTTGCGACTTGCAATATAATTCCACTTTTGAGGCATTTAAAATTGACAAATACGAACATTTTTTACGATCTGCTAACGTTTTCTCAACATTTTAAACACTCTTAAATAACTACACTCTTAACAGCGGCTTAAATTCTCGTTATTACGGGCATAGCCCGGGCAGATTAGCATAAAATTCTGAATGATATATTATAGAGCCATCACGATTCACGGGTTGCAGTAAAGTCACTTAATTAACCTCCCGAAGTGGTTTTAGTGGTTTGATGATCTGAAAAACTCGAAGTATTTAAAAAATGGTAACCTTTTTTACTGTAAGACCAGTGCAACATGCACGTATTCCTGCACGTATTGGTATGCGTGCTATTCAGAGGTTGAATATGCGGCTAGCGTTACACTAATTTTGATTGGCTGATTCGTGTTCACGTGCAAAGTTTCCCGCTCAGCAACAGCAGGAAAATTATTGTCAAATGTCAACTGATAACACGAAATGGCGCCGAAACTTTGCAGTTGTGATCATTTTTCATTTCATATTTTACCATTTTCATTTATAACAATTATGTAATTACGCGAAAAATGCACACGGACAAACAAGGACTGGAATTGTCGCAGGAACTCTCCTTTCGTAATTGTTTTAATTTATTATATTATTTGAAATCGTTTCAGGAAGTGGAATTACCGTGCGAATATTGCCTATTTTTTTATTTATGCATCATTACTATGAAACAAAAATCACTTTAAAGTGTATCTCCAACAGGAAATACCCGAAATAGTTGAGCTTTGTTTCCTTTTATACCTAGATGTCATCTGCTGACTTTTGGAAAACAAGAAAATAACAAAGTAAAGTGGGTTTTTTTAATGAAATTGTTGTGTAACATTTATGTTTTTGTTCCTATAGGGCGTCTAAACAATAAAATGAACAAAAACGAATTTGAAAACGCTCGAAAACCACGTGAGTGCAAGGCACATATAGCCTCAGAATCCTGTTATATCTTACGAAAATTCGAAATGAATTTTGCCGTTTGCGGTCTATCGGTCTCTAAAGCCAAAGGTATCTCATGTGCTAGAAATTACGTAAACTGAGTAATAAATCACAAAACGATCGAATCAAATAAATTTATTAAAACTAAAAAGATCAGCTACATGCACTACATTAACTTCACACACTGGCGTTTAAAATGCGTTCACTTGTAGGGGATGACTTTTAGATGACGTAATAATAATAGATAACGTAACTGGATTTGGTATCGAGAGATGTTTTCAGATGTTTTATCGTGGGGGAAGTACACTTTAATAAATTCCTCACGCAATTATACACATGGGTGAAGGGCGGGAAAACCCATGGGAAAACTGAAAACACAATATTTAACTACCTCTTTAAAGACAAGGATCGTCTTGCTAACCTTTTTTTTTGCTGATATCAGCGTGTCAACCAATCTCGTTCTTCAGACCGTAATTTACGTCACGAAAAATCGCGAATGGAGTAGCGCAGTTCAGATACAAATATAATGTGCAGTTGGTCTACGCTCTTAACTGTGGAAACGAAGCTTCAGAGTGGATCGGTACGTACCTATATGAACAAGCTTTGCTATATTGGTTGATGATAACATAAAACAAAATGAACTACAGAAATTGATTTCTAAAAAAACGAATCATAAACACTGCATCTACACTATTATTACAAAAAGCCAATCACAAAACTCGTTCATATTAGGTAGATACTAACTGTTCAGAGTTGCAAAAAGATTTCAATCTTTCTCCGGGTAGGATTTCAGGTTTTGAAAACCTTCCTCAAAATGACATCACGTCACGTTTTTGTACAAGCATGTGATGAATTAAGGTGCTCAACAATCAAACTTTTCTCACAAAGCTCATTTTATGTAAAGTAAACCTTCCTCACGGCTGGGTGGGTACCCGTCTACCCGCTGTTTTTTTATGCAACTCTGACGCCCTTAAAGTCTCTCCTGTGAACAACATTTGATAAATACACATAATTATGTTTACACATTGAAAAACATTAATATCAATTAGCTTTCAAGCTGTAAGCGAGGTTTAAAGTAGTTGAAATGCGTTCAAGGCTTTTATAGCAACCGAGATGTGGCTGGGTCTCCTTCAAGTTCCTTGTTAATCTTACGTTGTCGGTAGACAAGGTACAAGAGAATTACTGTAGTCAGGCCGAACACGATTGCAAAGGCCGCAGCGATCCACATGCGCTTCTTCACACTGTCATAATCCTTGTCATCTTTTCCTGGATTGAAATCGTAAATTTACAACTTAATTTATTAGCCAAAATGGCTAGCCTCGCAAAAATCATACAAATTTTAGACTCGCTGGGATATATGTATATATTCGTACCCTGGAATATGTGAACGTGTGAACACACGTACAAATGTGACACTTTAAATTCCACCCTGAACAATATGAATGAAGATTGTGGCATAGGCCCTCTTTGCATTTGTCAGAATGATAATTGCATACAACTTATTGTGTAGTCTAAATAGGCCTTTAGGGAAACCAACATGCCTTCTGTATAGCTTTCAATTAGCTATGCAAACAAACCTAGGTATCCTCAACAAATTTTTTTTTGTATATTTAGTGTCCCTGCCACCCAATTTGGATGGAGAATGTTGTTGATATTCCGCATCTTGGTGACAAGGTTGAGGAAAGCGGGAATAACTACATATTTCCTTCGCTCTGAGAGGTGGGAGATTGCTACCCATTCCTTTTCCCTTCAAGAGTGAACCCTTGTACAATGCAAGTTTGCTTACCTGGTGATGCAGTTGGTTTTGTAGGCAGAGATGGAGAATGAGATGGTGAATGATGGGCAATCTTTGTTGTTTTGGAAGAAACATGACTTGTAGCATTTGGGTTGTAGGTGCTGTTCATGGCAGGTATCGTGGTGTTGCTAGAAACGGTATTATTAGGTTTCATGGTGGGTTGCACAGTACCGGTACTTTTAGGGTACATGGATGGATGCACAGTATTGTTAGGCTTCATGGTTGGATGCGCAGTACTGTTAGGCTTCATGGTTGGATGGGCAGTAACAGTATTGCTGGGGATATTGGTATTGCTAGGAGAAATTGTTTTTATGGAAATTGGATTTAGGCTGGGTTTATGACTGCTCTGGGTGACAAGTGGAACGCTGATGCTTGGTTTGACCGTAGCATTTGGTTTAATGATAGCAGCACTTGTGCTTGCTTTTTTACCTTGGGCTAGGAAACAGAATATAGAAAAAATTAATACACTTTCTAATAAATACACTTACATGCACATCTGTACATATATTATTCACATATCAATTCCCATTTATCACTTGTATTTTCATCAACTTGTAGAAATAACTTGAAAGAATATTGCCAGATAATGGGGCATAAACAGGAAACACAGGGTTTAAGTTTCATTGACAGCAGGAAAAAGAAGTTGCATTTGACTTAAAAGAGAATTTCCTTTATTACAATGTAAATATTCAACTAGTAATAAGACTAGTTATTTCTTTTGCACATAGGACTGGCTGCTAGAGTCTCTACTTTAGGATTAGTGTGATAAATACAGCAGCCGGTTGTATAAAAGCTGAATGGTGATTTTTTCAACCGTTCTAAAAGTACTTGAAAAGCATTGAAGTGTCAGCTTTGGAAGCAACAATTATTAAAGAGAATCCTTGATTTGGGAATAGGATTTAATCAAAGTTATAGCAAACAACGAGCGATTTTAAAAGCAATGGAAAAAACACTATCCAGTGGGTAGCGCTATCCAGCTTTCATACAAGCGGTCCCAGGTCAACAAAAATCGACCAACATCTGTGGTTAAATCATCAATTAGCACTCACTCCCCTTTATAACACCAGACAATTAATAAGCACAGTAAATAGTTTAACATTACTGTGCACTGCCTTCTATTTCAATAAAAAAACAATGTACTTTCGCTGCTGAAGTGCCCAGATTATATATATTAAAGTCATGTGAAAAGTGTTCGGAATAATAAATGTTTTAAAGGATTTCTATACTATTCTATACTAATATAGAATTCTAATATATACTAATACAACGTTTACTTGAAACAAATTGAAATTACATTATTTGGGTTGATATAGCCCATGTTACTTTGACCGAACACAGATTTTATTTAATATAGATCAGTGAAAGAAAAAAGCATATTCTTGTGATAAATGTTTAGTTCTTTCCTGCACAAGCATATGATCACGAAATCACGTGCTTCGGTGCTTGCACGATGCAATGTCGATATCAATAAACACAGCACAAAGAAGCAACGAATTTGGGCGGTATTTGTCATTTTACGTTGATAATTGTTGTGACACCACACACATTTTTAAAACAAGCAGTAGCACAAACCTTTTACAGAGCAAAACACGGCGATCAGAGCGATGCAGGCAAGATAAAACTTCATTATTCAGCTGTAGATAATCTGGAAAACATATGAAAATGCGAAATTACAAAGATTCATTGTCCGTCCCACGAGCTGAGTTATGCGAGAATAAAGAACTGGGCAAAGCCAAAACGTACAAACAATTCTACAAATGTACTTAAACATACCTCCTTTTAAGGTTTACTTGCACAAAATAAGTCTTTCGTGCGAACTTTCCCAGACGCAAGCAAGTTTCGATTTTCGAATTTCGAATGCAAATTTGGTAATTTGGTTCCGCATTCGTAGAAATTAATTGTGCGTGGTATCACGCAATAATCTTCAGAATATGAAGCTTTCTCGCGTGAAAAAACTCGCAGTCGCGCGCAATTAAGGACTAGCAACTAGCGTATTCCCCCCCCTGATGAAAGTTTGGTCAACTTCAACATGGCGGACAATGTGCAATCTCAGCTTCAAACGGCTGGTAAAGATCCGGAAGATGATCTGGAAGATTTGTCTCAGCGTCACAAGAGAGAGCGAAAGGAATTACAAGGTAGTGTAGGCAGTTCTATTCCAATATACATTTACACTATATTACATGCATAAATTTCTATGTATGATCATTTTTTGAAGATTTTTGACCTCTTTTTCCACCAAAAATGATGGTGAAAGTGATTTTCAACCAGCTTTAGGAATCAACACTGCTTTGTGTGAAACATGATATTTGAAACGTTTTTACCAGCCTAAAATATACACAAAAATTGTATTCTTGTATATTTTAGGCAGTTAGAGCCTGTTTATATGATCCAACCTAGCTGGGATCGGGACAGTTTCCGAGATCTTGCTTGTAATACAAACATGAATTAGTTTTCATATGACCACTTTTCCATCCTGCGTAGGCGGGATCCCGGCAAGAAGTGTTTGGATCCTGCTTAGACGGGACGAGAAATTTCCCAAAAAATCTATGATTCGCGATAAACATACATTTGGAGCATGTATATATATTGGCATATTCGTTTTCTATAATAAAGCATGCCGTTGAATGAACCTGCACTACAAAACTCCATATAAACATGCCACCCTGCCTAGGTGAGGTTCCCAGCTAAGCGGGATGAAAACATCCTGTCCCAGCTAGACGGGATCATATAAACAGGCCCTTAGAGAATCAATTTACTAAATGCTGTCATTTTACTAAATGATCAAGGAAGACCCTGCCACGCTGCATCTCGTCTATGATATTCGTTTAAATTGTTGAAAGAAGTCAAAGAATCTTCAAAAGGAATCGTACATAGATTTATTTACTCTTGCATACTCCCAGACACTCCAAAAATCTCACAGGTGCTTTGATATTTTAAATTTCTTGATTTCTCATTACTCATGAATGATGTTTCATGAAAGAAACCTTGTTCCCAGGGCAACTCATATTTTCCAGGAAGCTTTCTCCTTCATTTAGTGTGCAGTCTGTTTCATCAGTATCATGTAAAGAATACCATTTGAATGCATGTTACATTTAATGTTTTCCAGCAAAAATACAAGCATTGAAACGCAGTGTACCAAAAGGTGATAAAAAAAAGAAAAAAGAAATTGTGGCTGAAATTGCTTTGCTTGAGGCCAAGTTAGACGAAAAACATGATAAAGAAAAGAAAGAAAGTGTTCAAAATTACAACGAGGTAAATGAAAAGAATTTCAAAGGGTAGCATTGCTATATTGATTATGTCTGCTGAATATATGTCGCTATAGACCTCTAGACTTTAATAAACAATATAAGCTGACCTTTTCCTTTTTTGAGGCCTGTGAATTGTTTTAATTTTGGAAAGGGCTCTTGCAGAGGTTTGCATGGTTGTTTTTATTTTATTTCTATGGTGTTTCAAGCAGTATTGTTTTTCATTTTTTTTAGGTTGAAAATGACGATAGTTCAGAAATAGTATCCCAGTTGAATATTTTAGAAATTCAACCTCCTGAACAGAAGAAACCCACTAGGGCTCAGAAAAGACGGGTAATGGATCTAAGAGAATTTTATTCTTTTGTTATTTAAGCGCAATCAAACTTGCAAACACTCACATCATGTTATACATATCTCTGCATTTCTATTAAACTACATGTATGCGGCTGCTTTGTCATTCACACTAAATGAGTGTTAGTGAGCTTTTAGAAAACAGATGAAAAATTTAGGTGTTATATACAATTGTGGGCTAAACATGACGTTTTTTTAATATAAATGAAAAAAAAAACACAAAGCTGATGCTGAAAGTGTTTTGAAGGATAAGAAGTCTGCCCAGGAAAAAGAAAGACAAAAACGAATCGAGGAAGCTGAAGCTGAGAGCGTCAATTCCGCCAGAAATGTTGAGCAAGAGAAGTTAAAATCAATGCTAACTGCATTGGAACTGACCATAAAGGAGGTGAGAGTTGACTCCTATTCTGAAGTACAATTGCTTGGCTGATGTTTAAAACAACCAACTGTGCTATAGCACACATCATAGTCTATACCTTTCTCAAGTAATCCAATTTCCGACATATTTACATTAGTTTATTTTCTTACAGATTGCACCAGATGGTCATTGGTATGTAAATAACAAGACCTTGTGATAACAAGATAACATTTTTTAAATTTCCCTGTTTGAAGCACAATATTTGCACGTAAAAAATTTCCTTCAAATAAATGAATGGAAACATGATATGTTTGCTTTTCTCCAGCCTTTATAATGCAATTGCTGATCAGCTGCAAAGACTTAATATTCAGGTAAGAATACCAGATTTAGTTGTGTTTTTTTAACTGGCCTGCAAAGTAGCCTTTTTATAGAATTACTGGTACTTTTTAAATGCACAAGTGACTTCATTCTTTCCAAACATTGTATGTGTTGTGTATTTCCAACTTAATTACATTAAACGAAATGAAAGGGATCAATTAATTTACCCACAGGCATAAGCTTGCTTTATAAGAATAATAGTTCTAGAAATTGTATAGATCTGTAGTTCATATTTGTATAATTTTTTTTACCCCGTAAGCACACATATTCAAGCCTGCGAGAACTGGCAGCAAAATACATGCGTGATCATCAAGATGACTTTCTTCCTTTCCTGATCGACCAACAAACGGGAGACTGTTACTCACCTGGTATGTTAAAAGGGTTAATTAGGTGTGGTACTATATCATTCTGGGGTATAATTCCAGAGTATAATTCCTGGAAGTATATCCATTCTGGAGTATAACTCGAGGATTTTGGAGTACAAAATTTATGTAACTTATATAGAGAAACTTTTTGGTTTTAGAGGCTTTTTCCCAATACTGTCAAGAACTACGTGATACCGCAGTCTGGGGAGGACAATTAGAGGTTGGGCTCATTTTGTTATATACAGTAAAACAACAAAATCTTCCATTTCTGGCTTTATATCTCTTGGAATGTTCAACAGAACCACCATATAATAAATAAAGCAATCTTCCAATTTTGAATAACTATCTGAATAACTATCTAGATTCAAGCTATTTCGAGTGCACTCCTAGTTCCTGTGAAAATTTTTCAAGCTGTTGGACCAACTATAGAAATTGGACAGCAATATGATAATCAGGAAATAATGTTATCGTAAGTACCAATCAAGATGAGTGTTCCATTAGTGTTTTATGATTGGGAGTTACATCAAATGATTTGGTGGCTTCAAAAGTGGGGTGGCATGAATGGGGAATAAAAAGCTAGGGAAGGGGGGAGTCAAGCCCTGTTCTTTTAACTATTATCTATGTACTTGACAATTTTTCTATGCAATATCTTACAACACTTCTGCAGGTTGGATTTCAATCCACCCAATGCAATGATTGCCATAATTAGAACTATGATGAGCTACCTGTATAATATATCCGGTTACCATCTTATTTACCATCATCTCCCATACATAGCGGCAAAGAAATGCATTTCCTAGGAAAAATTATGCTTAAAATCATCTGTTTGGTCCGTACCTTTGTTGCTGTCTAGATTCCATCATCATGCGTACGGTCTGGGGAAACATTACAACTCTGTGATCAGCATTTATGAAAAAGGATAGAAGCTCAGCATGTATATAAAATGACATTATTTTCTATGGGTATATCCTGCTGCACTTCTTACCATTAAGTTAGGATATTAGTAATTCTTTTTTTTAAATACCTTAGGATTAACTTATCACATTAACATTTTAAATGTATAAAAAAAAATTTTTTTCAAAAAATTCAGCACTAGATAGATAATATTACATAGATAATAGTATATTGAGAAGATTTGACAAACAAATCATTTGGAAACTGTACATATATTTTCATTATTTGATTTATTTCTTGTATTTAGTCATATGTTTCCCTCACAAATTAGTCTATTATGTACAATAATAAGTCAATTATAACCAACCATGGAATAGACTTTATTAACCATGTACAATAATAAGTCTATTATAACCAACTATTGAATAGAATTTATTAACCATGTTTATAAATGGTTCCATTTTGTGAAAGATGGAAATGTTTTGTTCGTTTCTGTTTTAAAGAATCCCGTTAGATCGCAAATATTTTTAAAAGGATTTTGTCGCGAACCTTTGAGACCCGAGGGTCGCAGCTAATAGGGCAAATTGTCAATACCACTCCGACAATAGCGTCGTGTTAACATCAATCTTACCTCACGGTTTTATACAAGACTAACAAGAGATTAAAAAGATTTTCAACCAGATGGTCGAGCCGATTGTTGCGTTAACAAACCTTTACATTTCAACAGTTAGACAAGAATAAAAAGACAATAAAATAATCATAAACAAAATTGGACATTTGGAAATTGGAAATTTCGATATAATTCACTATCTTTTCTAAAACAACTCAGACATAATGTTGTCATTATCATTTTGTTAGATCGATGTTCACTTTCACTAAATACGATTAAGCTTCTTCCACTTCTCCCTCCTCCTCTTCCTCTTCAAATTCCCCTTCATCCTCTGCTGTGGCTTCTTGGTATTGTTGATATTCAGAAACCAAGTCGTTCATGTTTGATTCAGCCTGAAATGATAACAACTGAGTTATTTAAACAGCATGGAATGAACTTTCTTGACATTTTCAAGCTCTGGGGCGAGTTGTATAAAAGACTAGTTAACTATTAACTGTAGTTAAGGAAGGAATCAGAGCTGGCCAATCAGAGCTGTGTATTTCTGAGTTAATTAGGATTTAACTATGCAAAGTGTAGTTAAAGAGTTTTATACAACCGGCCCCTGATACGAACTTATGAACTGAAGCTGAATTTGTAATGCCTTCGGCTTTACGTCAAATGGTTTGACTTTGGAGAAAAAGTTTCGAAAGTTGTAGGTTGTATCGTCAACTCAGACCAGATGCAGGATGTCAACGTTGGTTGAATCTTTGGTATTCAGAGGTACACGATGTGTTTTTCTCTGAATACTCTCCGTCTCGTTATATGAATGCTACTCGTTACTAAGGTTAAGAACATCTTACGATATTTTCGCACAAACCTCAGTGAATTCCATTTCATCCATACCCTCACCAGTATACCAATGAAGGAAGGCTTTGCGCCGGAACATAGCTGTGAACTGCTCACTGATTCGTTTGAACAATTCTTGGATGGCTGTGCTGTTTCCAATAAAGGTACCAGACATCTTCAAACCTCTTGGTGGGATATCACAGACAGCAGTCTTCACGTTGTTTGGAATCCATTCTACGAAATAGGAGCTGTTCTTGTTTTGGACGTTCAGCATTTGCTCATCGACTTCCTTCATGGACATACGGCCACGGAACATTGCAGCAACGGTGAGATATCGACCATGACGAGGATCACAAGCTGCCATCATGTTTTTGGCATCGAACATTTGTTGGGTGAGTTCTGGCACGGTGACTGCGCGGTATTGAGATGAACCTCGGCTGGTGAGCGGGGCAAAACCAGGCATGAAGAAATGAAGACGTGGGAATGGAACCATGTTGACGGCTAGTTTTCGCAAATCTGCATTCAACTAAAAAGAACGATTTAGAGATAAAATAAAAAACTGTATAAACACCTCCCATAATTTTTCTTAAAGAAAAAATAGCGAGATTCAGATTTTTTACTTTAACTACAGTATCCTGTCGTTGATCTTTTGCGCTCGTGATTGGTCAATCAATAGACTTATCGCATTTGATTGGTTCATTTCCTTCTCTCGCTGACCAATTTCGCTTGTGATTGGTCAATCTAATAGATCATCTCATCTGATTGGTTCATGTTCCCTCATATAAGCAGAAAACAAAAGTCTGAAAGTTTATTTCGCTGAAGGAGATACTAATATAGAAACTAGTTTGCTGCTGTCATGTTTTTGAAAGATCAACTTTTCCAAACCTTTATTGACTTGATGTTTATGAATTTGGCATAAACTTGACTTTATTAATAATGTAATGTAATGCAATAGCGTTTTTGTTTGTCCAAAGCATTATACGCTAATAAATAATGCATTGCTATTTAGTTGCTTAATATATCTTTGGCAAATCACATCTGCTATGAACCTTATTTTTTCTATACTGCTCAAAAATCCCAAATTTTCCAACTCTAAAATATCAGGTTACCTGCCCGGGAAAGCGAAGACATGTTGTGATTCCACTCATGGTAGCCGAAACAAGATGGTTCAAATCGCCATAGGTGGGTGTGTTCAATTTAAGGGTTCGGAAACAGATGTCGTACAGAGCTTCATTGTCGATACAGAATGTTTCATCTGTGTTCTCAACAAGTTGATGTACAGACAGGGTGGCGTTGTATGGTTCAACAACCGTGTCGGAAACCTTAGGTGATGGTACCACACTGAACGTGGTCATCATTCTGTCAGGAAATTCCTCACGGATTTTTGAAATTAACAGGGTACCCATTCCAGAGCCAGTTCCACCTCCAAGAGAATGTGTAAGTTGGAAACCTTGCAGGCAATCACATCCTTCAGATTCTTTTCTAACCACATCAAGAACAGAATCCACAAGCTCTGCTCCTTCTGTGTAATGTCCTTTAGCCCAGTTATTTCCAGCCCCACTTTGACCTTGAACGCCAAAAAGAGTGATTTACTGAAGTATCCAGAAACACATGTTTCGCACGCGAGCATGCAATTGCGATAAGACATCTATCTATCACACAACACACCCAATATCACATGGCACACTTTTACTTACCGAATATGAAATTATCCGGTTTAAAAATCTGTCCGAACGGTCCAGAACGTACAGAATCCATCGTTCCCGGCTCCAAATCGACCAAAACAGCTCTGGGAACATATTTTCCACCTAAAAGAGAAAAATGTCGACGTGCGCGGCGTTATGTAACGGTCGAATATATCCCTCACTTTACCGCTATTGCAAAATCCACTTAATCAGGCAATCTCGCTACTGACCCGTTGCTTCGTTGTAATACACATTTATTCTTTCAAGTTGAAGATCAGAATCACCGTGGTAAACTCCACTCGGGTCTATGCCGTGCTCGTCCGAGATAACCTCCCAAAACTTTATGAAAGAGAGGAAAGCTTGTGAGCTAGGCCAGCTGGGCGTTGATATATGCGATGATCGCTCAATCATTCGTATTCGGAATTTCGGATTGGAGCATTTTAAGAATTCTTACCTTTGCACCAATTTGGTTGCCGCATTGGCCGGCCTGCAGATGAACGATTTCTCTCATTTCGGTTGAAAAGAAGTTGTGAAATCGGGAGCAAAAATGAATAATCTCTCGGAATACCGAAGTTACCGTTTGCCAACCACGAATATGCGGCCAAACGAGTGTCTCGGTGAATCTTAAGACCCTTGCCCAATGATACAGTTAATAATTAATACAGTGTGAATAATTCACGACGACTCGACCAATAGGAATCTGAATATTAGGCGAGTATCAGACTCGATAAATAACCTCCGTTTTGAATAATGAAGTACGCTTTGTCGCTTTTTTTAAAGCCTCTTTCAAGTATTTTCTGTATCTACTACTTTTCATTAAATAAAAACACTCCCGTGGCGGTATGAACAAGGTTAAACAAAGCCTAATTGTCGATTGGGTGCGTTTGAAAACTCAAATCTTCGGTCAGGAAACCTCCGTGATATTTCTCAAATCATTCCTCTCATGGCAACAAATCCATTTGTTGTCTACTGAAAATATTTGGGCACTTAGGACTGAGGTCTATTTTTTTACAATTTTGGTTACTGGCTAAGCCGTAGGAAGTTAAGTTATATCATTCATGCCGCCAGTAAGGAACATATGGTTTGTTTTTTGTTTAAATGGCGGTTACGAAGATTATATTTATATATTCAACATAAATTTGTAAGATTTCAGCGCAGAAGGACCTCTTAAAATATTGTATAATTCTACAGTTGTTTATCCACGAGAGTGCCTACACCACGGCATAGTATATTGTACATTATATTATATTCCTCGTTTTCAAATGTCAACACAAAAATTCTCCGTTAGGAAGGCATTGAATGGCTCCTGTGGATCAGGTCATCAGACAAGCAGGTGTTACATCACAAAGTGTGAAAGTGTCATAGCATTACAAAGAAAATCAATTTTCATTTAAAAACCTTTGCATTATTAAAAACAGGGCAGAATACGCTTTGCTTAAGAGGCGGTTAGCCTATGCTCGGGGGGAAGTATATGTTCACATCAAACTATAACGGCTTGTCCATCAAATGGAACATATGTTTTTTAGAAATCGTTCGTGAATCGATTCACGTTTTCTGTTCTGAAGTAAAAATACCCATGCCGCTTTAAGGGGCCGGTCTCTGACTATAAATACAGACGATGAAAATTGAATCAATTCTGCCTTTGGGAATTAAGAGCGGATGTAGTCATTAATCTTCTGAATTGCAGCATTTAATAAGCAGGGTTTTCCAAATGAGATATAGATAGAAATACTACTGAAAGTGGTAAAAATTGCTGTTAGCGGTTTTTGTTGGTAAGAAAAATACAGAACTAAAATACCTACAAAATCTGGGACGTTTGTGGTTACTTCACAGACCGATCCCAGAGTTACATCGCCCCCCTCCCCGAAGCGAAGTCCTGGTAACGAGACAAGGGTTATATATTATTTCCTTGTTCGCCTTCAGCAAATCATTCAACGTCTTCTTCATCCATGTCTTCATTGTCCTCGTCCTCGTCATCTTCATTTGTGGCCGCCTCATATTGTTGGTACTCCGATATCAAATCATTCATGTTGGATTCAGCCTGAAATTTATAGGAATTTGATGATGGGGACGTTCAAACGATAGCAAAAAGGGGCGATGAACGTAGAACTACCACCCTTTCTCCCTGTTCACAAAATGCAGCGAAATATCTCAGACCTAATACTATGATCGTAAAATCAACACTCACAACAAACAACATCGTAGTCGGCGGTCTATTAGGGCCCGTTTACACTTGCAAATTTAGGTGCAATTTTCTTTTTGTGGTAAATGTTAACGAGTAGCTAGTTACGAATTCTCTGATGTATAAGAGCTCTTATTTGAACATTCGTAACTAACTCACTCGTTCACATCTATCAAAAGAAGAAAATCGCAGCAAAAATTGCAAGTGTTAACGGGCCTTTAGATTGCAACAAGGCTATGTGCACGCTGTAATGATTTCGAACGTTTTCATACATGTTTCCACTCCTAAACGGTTGCAAATACTATTAATTCAAGATAGAAGTTAGAGCTAATTTGATATACTGAGTATTTTACCCCTTTGGATCATGTCAACAGGCCGTCAAAACCATTATTGCTATTGATTTTGAAAATGCTCAAAAACGACGCTCTTGTTCGCAAAGCCTGATATTAGGTTGGTCTTTGAGGCGTAAGAATGCAAATGCTCCAGGAAATTACGAAGGGATCGTTTTCCTATCCTCACCTCAGTGAATTCCATTTCATCCATTCCCTCTCCTGTGTACCAATGAAGAAAGGCTTTGCGCCGAAACATAGCCGTAAACTGCTCACCGAGTCTTTTGAACAATTCTTGGATGGCCGTGTTGTTTCCAATGAATGTACCGGACATTTTTAGACCTTTGTTAGGTATATCGCAGACAGCTGTTTTCACATTGTTCGGAATCCATTCGACGAAAAATGAGCTGTTCTTGTTTTGGACGTTCATAATTTGCTCATCGACTTCCTTCATGGACATACGGCCACGATAAACCGTCGCGACGGTGAGGTATCGACCATGACGAGGATCGCAAGCTGCCATCATGTTTTTGGCGTCGAACATTTGCTGGGTGAGCTCAGGCACGGTCAGCGCTTGGTACTGCGAAGATCCGCTGGAAACCAAAGGGGCGAAACCAGGAATGAAGAAATGGAGGCGAGGAAAGGGAACCATGTTGACCGCCAGCTTCCTTAAATCTGCGTTCAACTGGAATGAAGGGGGAGGAAAATTTGGGCTAAAAGTTCAATAACACATTGCTGGATGCATGCAACAATGGCAGTATTTAATAGGGAAACTCGTTTCAAGTATAAAGAATTCGAAGGAATCTAGTTTTACTACGAGACATATCTGCAACTAACAGTACACGTTTTGCTCGGAATGATTAATACGTTTCATCTTTCGAGGCTTGTTGTTGTTCACAAAACTATCATGCACCTATTGTGTCGTAGCCAAGGTTACTGCGGTCAAATGTATACTTGAGAAACATGTAAACTTTGTTCGCCTCATTCAATGCATTTCGAGTACAAAGGCTTCGTAGTTCGTACTCGTTTTTCAGTGTCTCATCTTAATATTCTTGATCTAGGTTTCCTACGGTTGTCGTGTGTTACAATCTGCTTTCATTAAAGATACGAACGTTGATATTTCTAATCATTAACTAGTCATTAATTTTATTGAAACTACTTTACGAAAAAAAGCGATAACGACGTGAAAATGGCTCGGGGAATATTTCATTGTCTTCCAGTGTCCAAAAAGGTGCCAAGTCTAACATAATAATCACCCTTAGCTGCATTGTCCCAACGTAAACATTTCGGTCAGAAAATAGGCTTACATAACATATTTGAATACGTTATATATACCTGGCCTGGATACCGTAAACAGGTGGTGACGCCATTCATTGCCAAGGAAACAAGATGATTCAAGTCCGCATATGTGGGGGTGGTCAATTTTAAGGTCCGAAAGGTGATGTCGTATAGAGCCTCGTTATCGATGAAAAACGTCATATCAGAATTTTCCAATAACTGATGAACCGAAAGCGTCGCGTTGTATGGCTCGACCACAACTTCGGACACCTTGGGCGACGGTACGACGCTAAAGGTTGCCAACATCCGGTCGGGATATTCTTCCCGGATTTTCGACAGCAGTAATGTTCCCATACCGGAGCCTGTACCCCCGCCCAGAGACTGTGTGAGCTGAAAACCCTGAAGACAATCACAGCCTTCAGATTCTTTGCGAATGATATCTACAACATTATCTATCAGTTCAGCGCCCTCCGTATAATGTCCTTTTGCCCAATTATTTCCCGTTCCATTCTGGCCTTGAAAAAAACAATTACAAATGATTAATTTCACAAAATACAACACATTGACTAGCGCGAAGGTTGTAAACACTTTTAATTACGTTAGTAGGAAATCTTCAAGATCTCTGAAAATCTCCGTTGTTTTTCAAAAATACCGTGTAGGTCATGGTAAATTATGCTCCCATTTAAACTACACACGATTTTATGTTCCATACGAATGAAATTGGTAAGGAGAAATTTGGACCATCTACTATTTAGGTAGTTTAACTTAGGCAGCTCAATTTTATCCGTATAGCTCAATTTTTAACATAGCTTAGAATGGTAAGAATGAAATTTGACTGGCTATTGTGCAATAAAAAATTGCATCCGTACCACTAGTTCTTCTGACCTCACAGGCTTCACAACCTCAAGTGTAACCAGTTCTCACTTCTCATTCGGCTATCGTTGAAACTTACCAAAAACAAAATTGTCCGGTTTAAAAACCTGACCGTAAGGTCCAGCTCGTATCGTGTCCAGAGCTCCTGGTTCTAGATCAACTAGGATGCCACGGGGAACATACTTTCCTCCTATAAGGGGAGGGGAAAGCGATTGCATAATTTGCATTAGCATGTAATGTTAAGAACGGTTAGTTCAGGTTGAACTACAGGTTAATGAATAAGAGCCGATAGTTGAAGGGAAGAAGAAATTACCAGTGGCTTCATTGAAATATACGTCTATCCTTTGTAGCTGAAGATCTGAGTCACCGTTGTATGCTCCTGTTGGGTCTATGCCATGCTCCACGCAAATATCCTCCCAAAACTATCAAAATAAATATAATGTGCATGTGAAAATACTTTAGAGTGCTAAAAAGTTGATTTATTAATTCGGTTTTATGATAGGAAACGTCCTAGTCGGAAAATGATTGCAATGATGGCAGTGAATTTTCGGCAAGCTTGCCGCTATTCACTACATCGTTCCCAGATCACCGCTGTCACAGGCGACTCACAGCTTGCATCTGCCTTGATGCCACTGCTTGCCTTGATACACATTGCTGTCATATTTTTTCGATAAAGATCAGCTTCGACTCTCACGTCCACACAGGAACGTGGCTGATCACCAAATGGGTGAAGGCTCGTTCTTCTGTATTCTTAACATTCACTCGCTCTGACTCATTGTGTGAAAATAAACCAAAACAATTAGAGCTCTGTTGGTTTTGAGTATCTCAGGCAAAACGTTACTTTCGCTCTGTCAACACTGTCAACATGCAGTAATGAGGACTAAATGAGCTGAAGCGAATTTCTGTGTCACACCCTATCAACAAGACGGCATTTCAAGGAGTATGCATTTATGATTGTTTCAGACGTTTGTTGTAGAGTAACATGTTATACAGTTTTATCATCTAACCTACTAAAGTTGTTACATATACATTAATCTGTTAATACACCTCGAGATTTTAATATACGGTGTAAAAAATACAAGTAAACAATATTAACGTACGGCGTACGTTATCCAGAAGACTCTGTTTGCTTAAGCACAAAATCAATACAAATCTCAGCTCTGTGAAACTGTACACAAGCACAAATTTGCCACAGACAAGCGACAAGATTTGCCATAGACAAGCACAAGTACGCCCTCTCATTTCACAACATGACCAGACCATATATTCATATGTTTATATTTAATTCGGTCCGCCGGATTGTTCCTTACCTTTGCTCCAATTTGATTACCACATTGCCCTGCCTGCACATGAATAATCTCTCTCATACTGAGTCGAAAATATTCCGTATAAACAAGACTCACAATGTTAAAATCATAATTTTCCCTCTCACAAGTTTGTGAGGCATTGTTCCGTAACGTAACAAGGAGTTCCTTTTAAGTGAACATTTTTGATTCGAGAAGCCGAACCGAAACAGCATGTGGTATTTCCTGTTTATATTGTGGTAAAGTATTCTCACAGATTAGCTGCAAAGATAGCATATTTTTTTCTTCATTAGCAACCGTTTGTGTCTCAATTATGTTTTTTCGCAGGAGAATTTTGATACGCAGCTGTTTTGGCGTTCTATACGTTAGTTTGCATGGCGAATATTCGTACCCATGTGTCTTGGAGTATGACATTTTAATCTCTATCAAGTAGTGACAATGATGCATGTCACTTGCTAACTAAGTTGAAAGCGGTGTCATTTATTTTTTGCTCAAAGAGATAACAGCCCTCGCTCAATATATTTAAGTTTCACTCATGCTACACCCCCACCAAGACTCCGCTTCAGGCAGATATTGCTATGAACTCCCTGAAGCTAAACACAGAGGCGATGTTGTACATAAGGCACGTTACTCAGGCTAAATATTTCTCTTTCAAAGCATGCTCAAAGGAGACAAAAAGATGCCGAAACCGAACGGTGTTAAACACTAGCGAAACATGGACTATGTTTTACGTTTTCTCTTTTACGTTTTTGACGAACATTTCCGCATAATTGCATCGCAAATTGATACAAAAGTGCAACATTTACCTCGGTATTGCCTTGAAATTGGACGGCTTTCTTGTGAAGAGTTCTAATTGATATGCATATTCAGTGAATTCATTTATTTTCCTGTTCATGCCCTGATTCATTCGTTTAGCCACAATAGAACAGCAGCTGTCTGCTGTTTATAAATAGTCAAGCAAAACAAAGGTGTGCTCAAGGAAATTCCAAACTGAATTGCACTAGAAGTAAAATTAAAGTTCTCGAGGAAATTAAGTAATTGTTCCTCAAAAGTATTTCTGTGAAATTGTGAATCCACCTTGCGTTTTCAATGAATTTACAACGCGAGGCTTCGAAGAGACTTCGCACGAAATGGTTGATTAAATACCGAAAGCACGAATGATTATTTAAATTTCCATTCATTTCCGTGTTGCCTTCTAGAAAGACGAAGATGCTATACGTGCAAACTTGTATTGGTGCACTGTGTTCAGCTGCACAAGTTGTTTTCAGCTGACACAGTTCCTGCGTATAAGGTCAATATATACGCATCTGTTGTCTTTGCAAATCTCCGTTTTGATACATGCTTGCTGTCTGTCAATAAGGTCGGATAAAGCAAACAAAAGCGCCGTCTGCGTTGCAGATCATAATACAACTTTTTCATTAGAGACAACCTCTTAACCTCTAAATTATAACGATACCCAGTTTTATTACTTCTATAGACGTAATAGACGCTTCAAATAATAAACTGAAATTGCTACTCCAATGATGTTGTTGACTTCTTAGTTCTTTTAACTTCCATTTTCATCTATTTTTTATATTTTAATTATATTTTGAAAGTATAATTTAGTGCTATGTTTCCAGAACTATGCAATATCTTATCTAAGAGAATCAACTGTGTGTCACGCAAGGCGCACTGACTGAGAAAAGCGGCGATCAAGTGTTAACCTATTTTATATATTGCACGTCATAAATATCTGTGTTTCAATTTATGACTATGGTCTGTAGATGAAATTCTAAACGTTATTTGTAAAATATCGAATATTATGTTACAAATTTTGGCGATAATAGTCTGTAGATTAGATTAGCTAAGAAAGGCCGATTTCGTACAGAAATGAAAGAAGGGATTCTGTAATTGTAAAGCGATATTATAACTTATCAGCGTGTTATTGATGTGAAATGCAAAGGTGAAATGTCGATTCAATCTGATTCAATCATCTTTGTAAAGTCGGGCAATATTTTCTTTTAAGCAAACAATAACTCACAGTTCATTCACTGTGGGTTACATAAAGTATATCGAAATATTTCATCATCGCCTCGCATTCGTTTGCCGCTTTTATTCCAAAATAAATATATCATGAAATTTTAATTGCATCACCGGTAATGAAACGCATGATTGGCTTATTGAGAATCACATGATATGGTGTGGCGATTACCTGTCATTGTGGTTTAGCCACATTTGGCCTGGCCCTAGCTGGCTATTGGTCATTTTGAAATATATAACGTCATAACTAATTATTTATGTTAATTGTCTGAAACGAAAGGCGAAACCCGAAGCTGAAAAGGCTTGCCATTCCTCTATCGCGAAGCATTGTGTTCACATATAGCAGCAATTCTTGAGCCAAAAACTTTTTTAAAATGAGAGAAATCGTTCATCTTCAAGCTGGCCAGTGCGGAAATCAAATCGGAGCGAAGGTAGGCTTCTAATTGCTATTAGAACAAACGGTTAGTCTGTAATTGTAACGAAACGTGCGCTCTATTTTCTAGTTTTGGGAAGTCATTTCCGACGAGCATGGCGTAGATCCGACTGGCACATATCATGGCGATTCAGACCTTCAGTTGGAAAGAATAAACGTTTATTACAACGAAGCGACCGGTAAGAAACGCGTTTGATGTTTAAAACGACAAAAAAATTTCGATTCAATCATTTCAAATTCATTTTTCATGTCCTTGGCAACGCCGACTGCGAGGCTGCTTTGTGAATTTTTGCATGCTTGTTCGTTACATTTTAGGCGGGAAATATGTTCCAAGAGCAGTTTTGGTCGATTTGGAGCCCGGAACGATGGATTCCGTTCGATCAGGACCATTCGGACAGATTTTCAAACCGGACAACTTTATATTTGGTAAGGTTTAAAAGATTTTGTGTTTAATTTCAAGAACGAACAAGCGACGACCTGTTTGTTTGCTGTTACCATGTCGACCCCCTGTTGTCCCTTTCGCTCGTTAATGTTTGTACATTTCTACTTCTCCCTTTTAGGCCAAAGTGGAGCTGGAAATAACTGGGCTAAAGGACATTACACAGAAGGAGCAGAGCTTGTGGATTCTGTTCTTGATGTGGTTAGAAAAGAATCTGAAGGATGTGATTGCCTGCAAGGTTTCCAACTTACACATTCTCTTGGAGGTGGAACTGGCTCCGGAATGGGCACTCTTTTAATTTCGAAAATCCGTGAAGAATATCCCGACAGAATAATGACCACATTCAGTGTGGTACCATCACCTAAAGTTTCCGACACAGTTGTTGAACCATACAACGCCACCCTGTCTGTACATCAACTTGTTGAGAACACAGATGAAACATTCTGTATCGACAATGAAGCTCTCTACGATATCTGTTTCCGAACCCTGAAACTTACCACACCAACATATGGTGACTTGAACCATCTTGTTTCTGCTACCATGAGTGGTATTACAACATGCCTACGATTCCCTGGACAGGTGAGGCTAAATTTTTTGTTTAACTGTACTTGCTTTGCAAAGTAATAGTTGCCAATGCAGTGTTTAAAGCACTGCATAGTAACCAGGACAATTTATTTAGTTCGAACAATCCATTCTCCTTGCAGTTAAATGCAGATTTGCGAAAACTGGCGGTCAACATGGTTCCATTCCCACGTCTTCATTTCTTCATGCCTGGTTTTGCTCCGCTCACCAGCCGTGGTTCATCTCAATACCGTGCACTCACTGTACCAGAACTCACCCAACAGATGTTCGACGCCAAAAACATGATGGCAGCTTGTGATCCTCGTCATGGTCGATACCTCACAGTTGCTGCTATGTTCCGTGGCCGTATGTCCATGAAGGAAGTTGATGAGCAAATGTTAAATGTCCAGAACAAGAACAGCTCCTACTTTGTGGAATGGATTCCAAACAATGTGAAGACTGCTGTCTGTGACATCCCACCACGAGGTTTGAAGATGTCTGGTACCTTTATTGGAAACAGCACAGCCATCCAAGAATTGTTCAAACGAATCAGTGAGCAGTTCACAGCTATGTTCCGGCGCAAAGCCTTCCTTCATTGGTATACTGGTGAGGGTATGGATGAAATGGAATTCACTGAGGTTTGTAAAAAATAGTTTTCCTGTATTTTGATGTAAGATTTTCCCAAAGTATACTGAAAATAAATAATTACTATACATACTAGGCAAAGTTGTACTGATGTACTTTTTCTATATACTCACTCTAACTTTCTTTTGTCTATTAATTTAGGCTGAATCGAACATGAATGATTTGGTTTCTGAATATCAACAATACCAAGAAGCAACAGCTGAGGAAGAAGGAGAATTTGAGGAGGAAGAAGAAGAGGAGGAAGCCTAAATTTAAAAAAAACTTTGAACTCTAACTTTCACTTCTAAAACATTTTATAAACTTGCTGAGTGTTTGTGTTGATTGTAAAACAATGCTTTGTTGAGCAGTTAAAAACAAATATAATTTTGCAAACTAGTAATCGATTTTAGTGGCACATTATATCCAGTAGTCTTTGCAATCCATATAATATAGTTGAACAAAAAACAGGAAGAGAAGTTTGTTTTACTTCGTTGTAACCCTTTTACAGTGTAGTATTAGGGATCAAGATTTTTTGTCAACAAAAAGCCCACAATTCAAAGAAACCTTACCACTGTGTTTTTGCGGTATATATGCGCCTCTTAAGCCCTTATCTCATTGAGTACACATTTTTTTATATCTGCAAAACACTCTAGTCGAGAGAGGTTGCTTCAACACAAATTTATTCTTGACAAATCTCTGTTTTTAAACGATATGCATTATAATTTATAAATTGTTTTCCCCCTTTGCAAAATTTCTAATTTCAAAAAAACTTGTTCAAACAAGTTAATCACAAATTGTTTCCTGATTGGTCAATTTTGAACCAGCCCTGTCAACTAACCAATCAGCATTCACTTAGATGACGAATACAAACGCCTGATTGCGAATACAGTTTTAACAGTTTTTTACTTGTGAAAGTTTTGAGGCGTAGCAAGTACTTTTGCTTCGTGTTAGATTTAGTTATCTAAAAGTAAGTTTTTAGCGTTAAAAATGAGAGAAATTGTGCACATACAAGCTGGACAATGTGGGAACCAAATAGGCGCGAAGGTAAAACAATAATAGAACGACATTAAAAAGAAAAAATCATTCAAAAAATGGCGGCGCTGTTTTTATTTTTCAAGCATCTTTTGCTTTTTGCTTTCAATAGTTCTGGGAAGTTATATCAGATGAGCATGGTATTGATCCCACAGGAACCTACCACGGAGATTCAGACCTACAATTGGAAAGAATCAACGTGTATTACAACGAAGCGACTGGTATGCCGCAGCGTCATTTACGAATATATTTCGGAAATAAAACTGCAATGTCGGCCATGTTTTTTATTTGAATTTTTTTTAAATTGCTTTCTTTTTCAGGTGGGGAAAATATGTTCCTCGTGCTGTTTGGTGATTTAGAACCGGGAACAATGGATTCTGTTCGCTCAGGGCCGTTTGGTCAAATCTTTAGACCTGATAACTTCGTTTTTGGTAAAGTATATTCAATATTCCTTTACCTTTAAAACTTTTGCTATGAAAAGCAAGGGAGTGGACATATGCGAGGACATATGATTCGTCAATCGTCATGTTATTTTTCATAGATTGCAGAACACAACAAAATTACTTCCCCTTCTAGTTCACTACAATAGTACTACTATTTGATCGAGTTCTGCGTTGTATTTGAAAAGCTCAAAACCATCTAAAATGTTGCACAATTTTAGGCCAAAGTGGAGCTGGAAATAACTGGGCTAAGGGACATTATACCGAGGGTGCAGAATTAGTTGACTCAGTTTTGGATGTGGTGCGCAAGGAGTCGGAAAGCTGTGATTGTCTGCAAGGTTTTCAATTGACACATTCTCTCGGAGGTGGAACAGGATCTGGAATGGGCACTTTACTTATTTCCAAAATTCGTGAAGAATATCCAGACAGAATCATGACTACTTTCAGCGTGGTACCATCCCCCAAAGTGTCTGATACCGTTGTTGAACCATACAACGCCACCCTTTCGGTTCATCAGCTGGTCGAAAACACTGATGAGACATTCTGCATCGACAACGAGGCACTGTATGATATCTGTTTCCGTACTCTGAAGTTAACCACTCCGACCTATGGTGACTTGAATCATTTGGTATCCGCTACCATGAGTGGTGTTACCACCTGCTTGCGATTCCCAGGACAGGTACGTGTATTAGAATGCAGAGATTTTAATGAATCAACTAGGTTACATTAGCTTTCAAGTGATTGACAGCAAAAATGTTACGATAGGGTGGATTTCCTAATTTCAAATGTATTTTTTCATAACAGCTGAACGCGGACTTGCGTAAATTGGCAGTGAACATGGTACCGTTTCCGCGACTTCATTTCTTCATGCCAGGCTTTGCACCACTCACAAGCCGTGGCTCACAGCAATACCGTTCGCTTACCGTACCGGAACTCACCCAGCAAATGTTCGACGCCAAAAACATGATGGCAGCTTGCGATCCTCGTCATGGTCGATATCTCACCGTTGCTGCAATGTTCCGTGGCCGTATGTCCATGAAGGAAGTCGATGAGCAAATGCTGAACGTCCAAAACAAGAACAGCTCCTATTTCGTGGAATGGATTCCAAACAACGTGAAGACTGCTGTATGCGATATCCCACCACGAGGTTTGAAGATGTCGGCTACTTTCATCGGAAACAGCACAGCCATCCAAGAGCTGTTCAAGCGTATAAGCGAGCAATTTACAGCTATGTTCCGTCGCAAAGCATTCTTGCATTGGTACACGGGAGAAGGCATGGATGAAATGGAATTCACTGAGGTAAATTTGTTTTGAGTGGAGGATTCTTAAGTGTTTTCGTACATTTTCTATTTTGGGTAGCAGGGCAATGATATAGAAACCAGGGCTAAAGTCTTGTTTTCCTAGGCGGAATCCAACATGAATGACTTGGTTTCGGAATACCAGCAATACCAAGACGCCACAGCCGAAGAAGAAGGAGAATTCGATGAAGAAGAAGGTGAAGAAGAAGCGGCCTGAGTTTGGAACAATTTGACTGAAACGGAATTTTTGTACGGATTAAGAAAATAAAGCATATGAAATGAACTTGCGTTCTTGTTTGATGATTTCCCTAGCAAAGTACAACGCATCGTGGCCAATGGTCATTGAACGAACTCAATGACCATAGGCTTTGTTGGATGATCGATTGATTGGTCTAGTTTTTGGCTTTTCTGCAACACCGTTTTAGGGTGGTTTGGTCTGTTAGGTTTCAGTCCTCCCAGATGTTGCGCGCGAAAAAATGGCGGGAAATTAAGAATTTAATATTTACAAGGACAAGGACTAATATCTGAATGTATATCACAATGACCAAATGAACAAATCGTGTTTATATATTTTCCATATTTTTGTTAAAAAGCTAAACCTTAAAAAACATTATTACATGCGATAAATAGAGTCTTTCAGAAATTAAGGATAAAGAAAAAATGCTTGGAGAAAGTACGTTGTGTCAACTTGTGTGTGATTCTATTTGTCACAGTATTACGAATTTAAATTCTGTATGTCCTAAATTTACTACGATGTTTGTAATACTCTGTTTTAAGAAACAATAGACGAGCTGCAATGCTTGAAGAGAGAGCTGAAAGCTTGGGAAAGCATGTTTGAGCGTAAACATGCTAGAAAACCAAATAAGGTAAGAATTATTTCAGTTAAAATGTACATTATTATTATATTTGAAATATATTCATGTTTACATCAATATTACAACTTGCTAGGATGATGTGAATAATGCCTCAGAAGAAATCAGAGGTAAGAAAATATAAAAAAACTTGGAAAGGCTGTCTACATTTAGTAATAATGCTTCCCCATGCAAATTTTAATCAATATTTAGTGTCTATTTACTAAAGATACATCAAGTTTCCTTCTTCATGCCATTTGCAAAGACTCTAGTCCTGCATAAGAGTATATGCTATTAGTTCATACTGCCTTTTCGATCAGTGGTATTAGAAAAATACAACGTTTAGATGATAGAAATATTTGATAGGTGTTTTTCTTATCTTATAGAAACCTATATGAAATATAACCAACTGAAAAGGGGTACCATTGATACAAAGAAAACACTTGTTAAACTAAAGGAAAAGGTAAAGATTTTAAGTTGGAAATAGTGCTGACAATATTAGCTTGGTGTAAAGTAAGGGTTTGAATTTAGTTCCAAAATTAGGATACGTGTTATGTTTTGATTGAATTTTGTGATTAGGTTTTATTTAGAATTTAGTTTGGGCCCTGTATAAAATATATGGCTTGCCCAAATCTCCCTTATAATAAACCACCACACTAGTTTGACCAATATCTTTGCATTGGAAATAGATTAAACCATGAATATATAAGTGCCAGCATTTTGGGTTTCAATTTAATTATTTTGATTCACTGATCTGACCACTCAGACTGTTATCATAAAGTGGCAAAAGATTAATGTTGAGATGTTTTGCAAAATTTAGGAAGATGTTGAGGATGAGATATTTGGGAAAAGTCTTAACAAAAGTAGCACCCCTGTGTCAGCAGAGAAATCTGTTAGGCTTAAAAAGATATCACCTAGTGACTATAAACCAATAAAATTATGTCATGGTCAAAGAAAAGCTAAGTCATCACCCAAGTCATTATTACCCAACAAAATAAAAACAGATTTCATGGAAAGTAATGTTGAAGAAGTCAAGCTGATTTATACACCAACAAGAAAGGTCGATAGCACAACAGATGATCTTGGTTTTGATATCTCAACTAGTGCAAAGTAAGTGCATTTTCTTGACTTCTACATTATTGAAAAATTTACCATTTTCTAATGCACCAATTTTTTCTGCTGATCTCAGGAACAATTTTTTCAACAAGCCCGGAATGATGTTGGGAAAGACTGCCCTTGCGAAGCGTATGAAACGACGGTCAGCTCTAACCAGCGATTGGCTAGAAAATAGCCAATTAGGATTAGCTGATGACAGTCCGAATGAACCCAAGCCAGCTCTGAATCAGAACAATTTTGATGAATGTGATACCTTTGAAAATGGAAGCACTTTAAAAAGCGACCTTATTGGTGAATTTGGAGATGGTAATTGTACAGGTCCCAATGGGTTGAATGATGGGAAAATTACCACCCAAAATATTGATTCCATGTCAGATACCAAAAACACCATTGAACAAACCAAGACTTCTCTGGATAGAACTTCAAATGAATGGAAAAATTTGAAAAGTGGTATATCAAATGAAGTGATATTGGAAACCAACGGTAATACGGATTCATCATTTGGTTGCGACACTTGTTTGATTCCTGGTGGCACAAAAACGGGAAAGTCTTCGAGCATAAATAGTTTCACCACCATTTCTTCATCTAACAAAAATACCGATTCTTCATCAATGGTTGAAACTTCCCGATCATCAAAAACCGATGATAATGCTGCACTACCTTCGAATATTGCCAATAATACCGATTTTCCGTCAAAAGGGCAACTTTTTAAATTACAAACTATGAAACGAAAAAGAGTTAATGCGACGGAGGAAGTTTCAGCGAAAGAAAATCTGGAACCCTCTACAGGAGATGACTTGCAGGTGAAGCTATCAAAGAAGAGGAAAATATCTGATGATTTAAACAAAGAAGGAGACTTGGAAGAGGTCGGAGATTTGGAAGGAAACGATGAAATAAGTGGACAGAGTGAGGATGAACAATCACAGACGAGTAACGCCGACCAGAGAAGCGGTTCAAAGAGGTAAGCTTGTCTGGTGTGCTTCACACAATAGAGTGTTGGCGATTTTATTGCGGTCATCCAAACTCTCGCTTATCAATGCTATCCGATAGGTAACTATTTGGCACGCCTGAATCGTATTAGGTTTACACAATGTTTAAAGAGAGGATTACCTCACAATATACCTCAAAAAGGAGATCACATAGTTACAGTTGACAAAACTAAGAAATTTGTTGAGAAAATAGTTCGACTCGATTACAATAAGAATATACCATTAAATTACATTTAATAAACATTCGTTCTAAAATGTAAAATTATTTCTTATTTCCAAAGAGTTTCAGTGCTTACTTAGAAATATCTCAGAACTCGCTCACTGCTTACAGCGTTGGATTTTACTTTGTAAAATTTGTAATGTCCGCACGTATGAGAATTTGACATTTCAACTACGGCTCTGAACGACTTTCATGTATACAGTGAAATGAATTACGAATACTATTCGTTGTAAATAGATCGTCCGGGTTGGTGAGCGAAAACTTTCGTGCGCTAAACTTGAAAGTTCGACGATTCAGTCGTCGTGGTCAGGGTACAAATTACGGCGCTTACAAACGCAAGATGTGGAAACAGAAACAACAGGCAAATGAAAAAGCGGATAACAAGAAAGCGTATTGGAAGAAAAACACGAGCAATGGCGGTGGAAATAAGAGACGTATAAGCAGCACAACAACTACGACGTGTTTCAAATGTGGGGAAGATGGACATTGGGCCAAGGATTGCCCTAGGAACAAGCCAGTGAGAGCTCCAATTCCCGCCGAAAAGTAAGTTATTAGTTATATATGATGTCATTGTTTGAACACCATGTTACATTTAACTGCAACTGATGGCAATGCGATTTCCTATAACACAGCGTTTTCGATTTGGTCTCAAATATTGTCATATTGATCCCATTAATCGTTTCCTCTCCTAACAAACACTCTATGATCTACAAAAGAATTCTATTTTGTTTCGCCTGTATTGTCGCTCTCCTAAAAAATTTTTGAACGAAGAATATCGCCAAAGTAGAATTATATAACCACGCTGGAAATTTGCCAGTACAAAAAATCCATTACAAGTTGCAGCAGGATGACGCGATATGGCGTAAGCAAACAGCGAAATTTGGCGCGAAAATGAAGAATCTCGTAGTCCCATTTCTAGTCACTGTACCCTATATGGTTTGTCATGTTTAGTTGGTCCGAACCAGTGAAAGCTCCGGCAGATTTGGAGATCGCTGATGAACAATGGGAAGCTACAGAAGAGAAATTGAAATGCTTGGTCTCAGATCGTTTACCACGTGCTCATGACACACCTGGTCAAGCTCCTCCAGCGATTGAGCCTCTTTACCAACCCGAGAATGGCCAACCCATCGGTGGGTATTCCTTGGTTTGTGGTTTGATCATGGGAGAAGCATTTTCTTTCCATCACTTCTACCACTGTTTCACATCTATGCTACAAAATTTTTAGAATTCTTTCCTTTTTTACTCGAGAAAGGCACTTTTAAACGAATAGGCGAACAACCTCGTACCCAGGGTCTTTTCTTTGTGCTCACTCTGGGAGGAACACCTGCTGAATGAGTACAGAGAAAAGACCCTGGGTACGAGGTTGATAGGTGAAAAGGCCCTCAGACCTGACTTTTTTTCAACAGGCACACCCCAGGAAGTGTATAAAGCACTGAATAAATTGGGATTTGATACATTTCGTTGTGGGCAGGAGGAAGCGATCATGCAGATCTTATGCGGTAGTACAAATATAACAACACTACATCTATTTTCAGTTTTGTTTTACCACTGGGCTCCTGGCAATCACTTACAACGTCCTATTTTAACCTCTTTAATTTGAACGCCTGTGCTCTTTACAGGCTTGTCATCATTGGTTGTGCTCTCAACTGGAGCTGGAAAGTCATTGTGCTATCAGTTACCTGCCTATATGTACAGCAGGCGTTCTCCTTGCATTACGCTAGTCATATCACCACTTGTCTCTCTAATGGAGGATCAGGTAAACGAAGACTATACTAGCGCACTCCCTTCACCTTCAATAATAACATTGCAACCTGTAATAATTTCGGCGTTCACTAGTGGCCTTTTAATGCATTCTTAGTTCCTTTTCTGAACAGATTTTCCCTTTTCATTTGTTTTCCCGTTTACCTACTGTACGTACTCTAGGTGGTTGGTCTTCCATTTGGTCTGCACGGGGTCAGCCTAAACACGAATATGACAAAACCGCAACGTCTAAAAGCTGTCGATCAAATCTGTTCCGGCAAAGTAGCTGTGGTTTTGGTTTCCCCCGAGGCTCTGGTAGGAGGGAGTTCTGCTGTGGGGTGTCTACCTCACCCCAGCAAGTTGCCACCGATAGCGTTTGCCTGTATAGACGAAGCTCATTGTGTCTCTGAGTGGTCGCATAACTTCAGGCCATCGTATCTTCGGGTTTGCAAGGTTTGTTTGCACGCATAATTTATTTTTGTTTTGTGGTTCATCATTATCATCAATACTATCAATATAATCATCCTCATAGTTATCACCGATGATTACCAATTATCAATTACCAATTTATCATCAACATCATCGATGTTGTCAGTTGCGATCGTCATCGGTTACCCAATCCACCATGATCAATATTTATCATCAATAATCAATTGATGATATGACATCAATGATCATCGCTATCATCATGGTGGTAATGATCATGTCGTTTATATCCGGTGTTTCTTTCGTATAGGTTTTACGTGAACGGTTTGGTGTGCGATGTTTCCTGGGACTGACTGCCACTGCTACTAGATCAACGGCGTTATCGGTATGTGAGCACCTGGGGATCGTTCACCGACCGGAGGCCATCGTCCGTGGGGCAACAATACCCGAAAATCTCAATTTATCCGTCTCTTGTGATTTAAACAAGGATAGGGTAAGTTTAAAGTAGATTTTGTAGTAGGCTAGTAGCCCACGTTTCAACACTGCCTGTGTGATGATTTTACCACTATGAATAAAGAAAAACAACACTTGTTCGAGAGGACAATAGAAGCTAAGTGGGATATCAATAGGGATTTTCATCTTTTAAACTAGGCTATCCTTGAACTGCTACAAGGCTCGCGATTCAGTGGCTGTGATTCTATCATTATTTACTGCACCCGTCGAGAACAGACCGAGCGACTGGCGACCTACCTCAGGACTTGTCTTCAGAAGAATCCGATGAACACAAGCAGTTGCATCACGGATCAAAATGAAGGTGATGATGAGATAGAAAAAGAAGACAAGAAGAAACGGGGAAGGAAAAGGTATTTGGGGCTTTGCACAAACTTGATATTCACTAAACTCCTGTGAAACTTAAGAGTAGTGTCGCAGCTCCTCGCAAGAATGATTTTCATTGGCTGAACTTTACAATACATTTCTGTTTCGACCAGTAGCATAGCTTCGTTCTTTAAAAAGCAGAGAAAAGCATTATCCAGTTGGACGAAAGCTTTCGAGAGCTGCGACATGTCCCAAACTTAAAACTTAAGACTCAAAGTCAGACATTGCTCTAACATGAGTATTAGAAACGTCTCACGACACTCCTTCGACATTATAGAAAGTCCGAAGCAGCAAAATCAAAATCCGGTAAGAAGTCGATAGCTTGGCATGCCGAATGCTACCATGCCGGCCTCTCCGGTGCACAGAGAAAGAAAGTGCAGAAGAAATTCATGGCTGGCGAGCTGCGTATCGTTGTTGCGACCGTCGCATTTGGCATGGGATTGGACAAAGCCGATGTTCGTGCTGTTATTCATTATAATATGCCTAAAAGTTTTGAAAGCTATGTTCAAGAAATTGGACGCGCTGGAAGAGATGGTTTACCTTCCCATTGTCACGTTTTTATTGATCCAGAGGTATGTATTTTTTTCGTCTTAATCTATATGAATAGTATTCTGAATACAGAAGAGATTGCAGGTTGAGAATACAATACGTTACTCAATGCAAAACGTGGGTAGAAACTGTAAATTTTTTGAGTATTTTATTTTAAATTCATCTTCAGAATCAGGCCCTTTTTGTAGGTCTATTCCGTATAATTGCATTAGTTCAATTTTTCTTTTTCAACAAAACCTCTTTCAATGATCACTTTTCTCCACTGGACCCTCTGACTTGACCAACCGGTTACTGCGTCTCACCAGTTGCACGCTTATTTTCCAGTTAACATACGCACCCTTGTTAGTTGTAATTAGTTTGAATGACAGGAGTTGACTGGTCCATCGTCCATCAGGGCAATGCCTATGGTCCCCAAGCAGTGTAAGGGCCTATTCAGCGATACACAAGAAAATAGTTAGGGCCGAAATTTTCATCTTGCCTGAGGAGCCGAAACATAGCCAGTCCTTCCCAGCTCATTAGGTTTCACCGATTAAATACTTCACAGGGCAAAGACGTTCGTGAGCTCCGCCGACACGCGCATGCCAGTACAGTTGACAGGAATACGATCAAGAAACTTGTGCATCAGATATTTCCCACATGCGACTGCAAAACACTGCATGCTAACATGAAAAAAAAGCGTGACAATGAACTTAGTCAGCTCAGGGAATCAGCTGCAGGTGGCTGCAGGTCGAACAGCGTTCCAGATCAAATTTCTGATTGGTTCGATGGTGACGATGGCGACATCGTTGATCACGTGATCGAGTTCGAGAGTCAGAGCCGCAAGGGACTAGGAGCGAGTGGCGAAGATATTGTAGAGGATGGTATGGGAGACATTATCCCCCAAACAGACGCCAATTCCAGACAGAATGCGGCTGATGTTGATAGCACTAATAGTAATGATAAAGGCAAAATTGTTGCCCCGGAGAATGACGTCACGATTGATAATGACATCACGGAAGGTAATGACGTGACAAACAATATTGTTGCTGATCATGCTAACGACGGCAGGTCCGAGGTTATGGACTCTCAGACGGAAGAAAGCCATGACAATTCAAACCGTGTTTGTGGTGGCCACGAAGTGGCAATACCGATTGCAAAGGCCGTGGAACAACTGGACATGAAGGAAGAAGCCATTGAAACCCAACTATGTTACCTCGAGTTACATGCAAAACGTTGGGCTCGGCTTCTGAAATCCGTTCGCTCCACGTGTACGCTAAAGTTCTACGGCGGTCCCGCCCATTTACATTACGTCGCCCAACGGGTTCCCATAGTAACCGCTGCGGTGGCGTACGTCCGCAAGCGTGGAGAGTTTAAGCGCAACACGAGCAGTTTGACTTTCCCGGTTGTGGAAATCGTCGACGGGATGGGCTGGGATTTGGAACCGGTCAGACGGGAATTGTACGGCCTGCAATGGAACGAGGGCTTGAGGCTAGCTGGGGAAACTGGTTTGTCGAGCGGTCATTCCGGTATCATTGTCGAGTTTACTGATCTGGCGTTCCATCTTCAAGCACCTGGGGATTTAACGGGCGAGGAGAGAGATGAGGTGAGTTTTTTAAAGCATTTGTGTGAAGGCTTTATTTGAACCTCATAACTTATTCACTCCTTCAAAAGTAGAAAATCCCTCCAAAAATTGCAAGTGTAAAGAAGCCTTTAGTCTGAGAAATACAACTATGTTTTGGGGAATTGCCTTTTCCAAGTTTTTTTTAACTGCGGTACCCACAAAATCTGCTTCTTCCAAATAGGTTTGTGATTTTCTTGAAGATCGCATCATGGCACAAGAACGAAGCCAGTTGGCTCAGCTTTATAATGTGTGGTCAACATTTAATGCGAGAGCCCATCCGAACTGCTGGGAAAGCGCGGAGGAATGCGACAAAGATGTGGACAGTGTCTTAAAATCCATCATAAAAGCGTACTTTGAGAGCAAAAACGACGCCACGAAATTGCAGCTGGAAGCACTCTCCACAGCCCGGAAAAACTCGGAGTTCCTCCAGAGCGTTATCCCGACCGAAGAGCCTGTTAACTGGGACGCAGTCTCACGTGATGTACGTTCGTTTATCACGAGTCATGGCGATCTGGAGCTTTCTGGCCGTGCTATCGCACGCGTCTTTCACGGCATTGATAGTCCATGTTTTCCAGCGTCAGTTTGGGGCAGAGAGCGAAGATACTGGAGACGACATCTCGACGTGGACTTTAACTTACTACGTAAGTGTGCCACGAAAGAATTGGTGAAATTTAGGTAGTGCATGAGTATATCCATTCGCAAGTTCAATATTCAGCATGGTTGCATCATAGCCTTACCTGCAAACGGGCATATCCTGGAACGAGGCTGCACCACGGATATATTTGGTTGGGTATAATGTGCATATGTATTATAAAAATAAGGGAATATGAAATCAGCTTTAGCATTCGTTAAGCTACTTCGAGTTCTGTACAGCCAATTTTTCTACAAGCTAATTTTTGCAAAAATTGGGGTTTAACTACCTCCAACCCAACGAAAACTTGCAAGGCAATTATGCAATTGATCAGATCACACTGAATTTGTTTCGTTTTAAACCATTTGCGTTGCGAATTATATATTAAATGATGTTCGTCTGAAAACTAAAACAAATAAAAGCTGTAAATCGAAAAGTGAGACAAATTAAATTTTTATCGTCAATACTTTTTTCCGGAGGATATTTTCTCTCTAGTATATACGTATGCAGTTCACGAAATGTTGTACGAACATTATGTGGGGCATACAAATAAGTCTATATGGTTCTATTTCGTAATGTCATAGCAAAACGAAGTGAATCGTTTCTATAAATACGTGATTACTGTCGTGTCGAGGGTCGTGCGTAGGTCACGGTACTTCGCCGCAATCGAATACGTTTTTCTCCAGTTTTAATCGAACGCCATTGTCGATCGATGGTTTGATATTTTTTATGTCCTTATCATCAACGACGTCTATGCATCGACTAGCTGATATCCGGCTTTCCGTAATGGCAACATTGGCAGGATGTGATCCGCTTGAAATGATCTGAAAATAAAAGAGGAATATGTGTAAAGAAGACTTCCTAAAGTTTGTTAGCATCGAGGGTGAGTGTGCGAAAATATATCTTAAAATATATACATAACACCTTATAATACCTTAAAAAATTATTTCGTTATTGGAAGGGGGAGTTCTGAACAGTTGGGGACATCAAAACCACGCACCTTAATTGCAACTGTTTCTCGTCCAATATCTTTGTTACAAATTTCGCATTTCAGTATTTGAACCGCAGAATTTCGTTCAATCGTTACGGCAACCTCCTATTGGCAACAAATCATGCGTGTTCGTGTTTACATGAACTTAATACGTTCGCCTTTAAGGGTGGCAGGAGCACTTTGCTGTATCTAGAAACTCTGACTTTACATCAGGGCAGATTTCCAGAATTTCTATCGGCAAAATGTTCCACCCTGAAGAAATTCATTTCAAGAAAAGTGGTCTACCTGTCATTGAACTATTCAGTGAAATAAGATAATATTAACTTAGTACCATCGATCCATACAGTTTACAGTTTTCCATTATCAGTTGAGCGCCTTGTCTGACCACAATACCGTCGGCGGTACAACGAAATTCACAGTTTCTCAACACGGCTTGGCCTTCCTCTACCACGAGGAGGTAGGAATTTGAAGATACGTGAATGAATTTAATATTGGTGAACTGTGTCGACGGTGATCGCGTTGTGAGAAAGCTGTCATCTTCTTCATCGCATTCAACTGATAAAGTTAAGGGAAACGTTGGGTCTATGGTAATATTCTGTCATATAAATCAATAAGGCAAGGGCCCGCCATTCATGTTTGTGATACGTTAATCAAAGTCCGTCAATTTAACAGGACTTCTGACCGCTTGGCCTTGGGGCTGGTGGTTCAAAGCAAGTTTTTTATCAAGTTTGTTTAAAAAAAATTTTCACAAATATTTTTTTTCTTGGTTTAGGGGCTGTTTACATGAGCCCGGTTACTCGAGATTCAACGAAGCGTGAGATGATTTTGAGGTATTGAAAGGAGCAGATAACATGGTCCTGGCAGTCGTATAATCACCACAACAATAGCATGTGCTTGTTTGGTGTCTTAAAGACTTATTTCAATACCTCAAAGTCCTCTCACGCTTCGTTGAATCTCGGGTAACCGGGCACATGTAAACAGCCCTTTAGTGTGGAAGTATATTTCTAATGTCATAATTCACCTGTAACGTCGCCGTTTCCCTCAACTGCGAGGGAATGCTCGAATACCAAAGAACCAACATTGTAATTACCAGGATAGAGGACTATACTGTCTTCCTTGTTGATGCACTCAACAGCTTTCTCCAAAGACGTGAAATGCTCAATAACTGTTTCATCTGAAACCAGCGATACAGTTTAACAGCCGGGTTAATATGGGAACTTTGGATTTCAGAGAGTGAATGTGAGAATGTCCTAACTCTAAGTATAACCAAACAAAACAACAAGTTTTCTTTTTGAGTTTAAGGAACGTTTGAAATTGCTGTGGCAAAGAATAAATGGATGGTCTAACTGAAGATACAGTGACATATAGTTTTGTCAATATGGCAGGAAAATCGAGTCAAATGAAAGTGAGCCTCAAGTTGCAAATATGGGCCCTGTACTGTTCCTCCTTGGGATATTACAAGTCACCACGTCACATGGGAAAAATGGACGGTTCTACATAAAAACTACTTGGGTAAATGTCTGAGAAAATGCAGTAAAAGCCTGTGTATGCGACAATCAATCCGTTTTTCAGAAAGTAAAAGTAAAACTTGGCTTTCGCTTAGTCTGGGTTTTGCTATAATAATCCTATCCAATAAGGAGTCACGTAGACCTTTGAAAACCAATGACATTACCTGACAATGATTTGGTCATTTTTGCCATCAATTTCTCAGCCACAATCATTGTGACAGGATATGTGCGTATTTGGCCCTTTTCGTCCTGCGTTTTCGAATTGACTGAGGCCAATAAGTACCTTTAAGAAAGAGTAGGTACGCGATTGCGTACGTGGAATGTAAGTAAGATGATGTGTATTGTATTCGTCTTATGGATATTCCGCACAGCTACTAAATCATTACAAAATACCTCATTTGAGGATCTTCCATGGTTTGCAAAGATCTCACAATGCTCTCAAACTCGTGTGTTTTTTGAGCAAGCATAAACACATCAGATGTGTCGAGTTCCTGTTCCGAGTCACTGGCTGACATGTTTTTACGTAGTTCTTGGAGATGGATTGACTTCTGCTTGCATTCATTCAATGTTGCTTTAAAAATAGTCATGGATAAAGCTTCAATGCCACAGGCAACAAACATGGATGAATTAAACCAACCCCTGGGGGTACAACATACCATTGTATTTTTTAATGAATTCTTGGCATAGGTTATTTTGCATAATATCATAGTAAAGTCGCAGTCTGTTCTCCAGATTGCGATCCACATAGCAAAAATCTTCATCAGCATCCAAATCCCAATCTCTCCACAGGTTTTCAAAAAAGAAGCTGTAATTAATGCAAATTTCCACAAAATGTATTGTGCTATTAATTAGGCAAATTACATCTAGATTAATTGGTGTTTTAATCTCAATGTAACATTTGCCAGAAAAACTACTCAATAGTCATTAAGCTATTTTATCTCAAGCTGACAGTACTATTTCACAAACTGTATTAGACAACTGCATTAAAAAATGCCAAACCATTAGGCTAAAATATTTGTTGTCTGACTTGTCTCCAATTACCTGACATGCTCCAAAGCTAATGCAGTCTGATCAAGGTCACCAGATTCATCAAAAACTGGTGACAACTCTGTTAAAGGAATGCAATTGTCTTGCTGGCGAATTAATGACTGCGCCTCTTGGAATGTTATTGAAGGATTTGAAACCACTGGAACGCATAAATTTACTTCCGAGGATAGATTTTGTGGGAACACATTTACAACCTAAACAACTCCGAGTGGTTATTAATCAACTTGGATGTAACAACCAGTGGCGTAGCCAGAACGATAATTGGGGGGGCCAATATTCATATATTCTTGATATGCAGGTTTAATTTCTTTTCAAATCAATTGTCTTTACATGCAGTCTGTTAACATGAATATATGAATATGGGCCCCCTCAATTATCGATGCTGCTACGCCACTGGTAACAACAGAGCTCGGTTACCAATCATCATATTCTAAACCTGAGTGTTACTGGATTAGGATTATTTAGGATTAGCACTTGGGTCCTTGTTTGGATTAGATTCAAGATTATATAGTTGTGTACTTTGGACAAATTTATAAAACTTATAATTCTGAGAATCCACCCTTAGGTACTGGGGACTTTGGAACTGTGGCTGCCAGGGAGGGGGGATATTTCTGGTAGGAGGGGGGAGGTTGGTTTGCAAACTTACCTCCACTAAGACATTCAAATTTTCATTCAGCTCAATGTCAACACCACTAGCATCAGCGCAACTCCAAATTGCTTTCCATCCACGTTTCTGTACGAATTTCTCCACATACTCTGCAAACTTTGTTCGAACTTCGCTGGCCTTACATTTTCCCAAGATCGCTTCTGAATAGACAGGGAAACGCTCGTCGTAATTTAGAGTTGAAGTTTGAAATATCATTGGCATGCTCTCCATGGCTCGCATGTAAGCAATAATCTTAAGACACCAGTGGCGTAGCCAGCCTGACGACTTAGTCATGCTATGCAAATTTTATGTTATTATCATTATTCATTTCTTTAGAAATTCAGTGTTTTAACAGTCGATGAACACCAAAATATTAGCATAGCATGACTAAGTTGTCAGGCTGGCTACGCCACTGAAAGGCACACAGAGTTCACTCTGCCTCTGGATTGCAGAAAATGTTGCAAGGTGCCAATATATGTTTGATTACATTCATGACGGGAAGTCGAAATAAAATAACCGGAAATAAACTGCATGCTGAAAGGGCATTTCTGACCTCATGGTTAGCATGGTCCGCATCCAAACAACGAGATTTGTTCGGTAATGAAATAATTCGTTAATTGGGTCGGCTGAGAATGAATTACGATTTACAGCCATATTTTTTGATATTATTTTCTAGAAAGTTCGGTGATCGCAGGCTTTAGCTTTAGCAAATATTGCAATTATGGTCATAATTCCATGTTTATTAAATTCTAAATACACGAGATTAGGTTAGAATTAGTTAGATCTATAGCTGATTAGGGTTATCCCAAATCTAATCCTAATCTAATTTATGGATTAAATTCGTGTACTTAGGATTTACTCAACATAGAATTACTATCGCCATTTAATCCCAATCAGGACCCTAATCTTAACCGCTAATCCCAAGGCTGATCTACTGCCATGATTTCGAGAGATACAATTACACAAACTCAAAAAAAAAATAATTAAAAAAAACATTTATGAGACTAGTATTTACATTTTTACAGTCAACTGGAAGCCTACTAACCAAACGGTTACGTCTGATTAAGGCCTGTTTAACATTACGCATGCTAAATCAAATCTAATCCTTTTTTTCTAGGGTCGGTTTGCTTTCAAGTTTGTCCTGTATACAAACATGGGCTACCGCAGCTGAGGAAGATTTATTCAAGTTTTCTGACCCTGCTCGAGAACAGGTTAGTTCACGTAGCATACAAAACACGTTACACCGCAGCAAACATTCATCCCCAAGTTCTTCTCAAGGGCACAAACGGACTTCCGTGTAGTTTTGCGCACGTGGTGTTGCAGTAGGTATGGTGTATCTTCTTCTCAAAGTGTGACTCGGCGAACATCCTCACTCCGTCATAGTACATATCGGCCATCATGCGACATCGCTTCTCCTCCTTGCTTATTCCTCGCAGAAAGTCCCATAATTCCATCAGTGCCTCGATGAAGCGTCTCTTGCGCGACAGCACACGTGGCTTGCAGAGAATCTTCATGTCGCGCAGGAACGAGGCGTCGCAGTCTGCACGTGACCATTGGAAATGGTAGCCCTACATAGGATGAAGCATATCTGAAGGATATACAGCCTCGTTTAAGCCGGTTTTCCACTAGCAATATTTTTCGCGCGAAGCGACTTTATTCCTTTGTATTTGAGCAATTTGTTCCAGATGGTTGCAGTTGAGAGCTTTGGAACAAAAGTAAAATGTCGTTTCGCGCGAAAAATATCGCTCGTGGAAAACCGGCTTTAAACTTAAAATTTTTACTGCGACTTCAGATGGTTGAAGATTTTTTGCCATCATTAAAACATACGCCAGCTAACCCTCGTAGTTGTTTATCTGATGTGACAGATATTCCGATACTTCGAAGATAAAATAACTTCAGATAAATGTTCATGACAGTAATAAAAGTCACTTATGTCAGCCTCGTACCCAGGCGCTTTAATAGTTCGCGTTCGCCTTTTTTTCAGCTGACCTCTATATAATAACTGAATACAACTGTACATATTTTACTATTGAAGCGCCTGGTTACGAGGCTGGATAAATGTAGCGTAATGGCAGTTTTCCACTAGGTAGAATTTTTCGATCGAATGGAATCCTCCTCGGCCGATATCTCACAATTATAAAATGAAAATCCGACTGAAAAATTCAGCCTAGTGGAGCCACTTAACCAAGGAAGATCGAGTTGTGCTTATTGGCCGCCATTTTTGGATTATTACTATAACGATTTGATCAGCGATGCATGAAGCAAAAAATTTAGGTTCTCAGTTTGTTCCGTCTGAAATGGCAGAATTCTGTGCAGGGCGCAATAGCATCGACCTGTGTTTATTTTTTTTGCTTGTAAATCGGCGCATTAATAATAATGAACTGTGAACGTGAACTTACACATCCGTAGCAAATATCGTGTTTGTTGCAAGCTTTGGTAAAAGTTTTCTTGAACGGCGTGCCCAATCCAAGAGGTACACTACAACCGTTCGTATAACTATCTGCGTCACATAGACCCTCTGTCATCATCTCTCCCGTATAACTCAGCAAGAAAATAAGACGCCATAATGTTGCTTGTATCATAAACAGCTCAATGTCACAATTATCTGTTGACCAGTTCCTGGCGAAGAAAGGCTTGGATAGTTCCACGGTCTCTTATTCGATTTAACTGCTTATATTTTGTAATTTATCCTTGGTTTTGGTCTTAGTGAAGGCTTGAAATTTCGATCTAAGATTTTGCTTCAAATTGAGAGTATTGAAGATTTTATGCAATACGGTACCTGTCGGTGTTGCTTATAAATAATTCATGAACCGTTCATTTGACGACAAATTTGGACGGAAAGAACTAAGAAGTACCTTGCAAAGGCAAGACGACTTCAATACCTAAGAGTCATAGGGGTTTTAGCATGTTTTCAACAAGTTGTACCAATACAGTAGCCGTTTTATCAAATCACGATGTAGTATTTCACAATGAACATCGGGTTCGTGTCAGTTCGTGGCTAGTTCGTGGCTAGTTCGTGTGTGTAGTAACAATTTCTGCCGGTACGCAATAATTGCAAACTTTGTAAAGCCCCGGTCAAACGAGAATGAATCAGGTTGATAAGAGTTGAGAAGCGAGAGTTTGCACAAGAGTTTTCCTCGGGAATGGTGAAACGAGGATGAGAGTTGATAAGAGTTGAGAAGCGAAAGGGACTATTTTGTACTATTTTGTATTCATCTTGTACAATTTTGCTGGGCCTGCTACTACAAAATGCAAACCGCTAGCTGTTTTGCAAATCTCCAAACGGACACGACTCTCATCAAAATTTGAACCGAGTCAAAGTCGACGAGAGTTGATATATGAGGGTGCAGGAGAGTTTGCGGTCAAGTGCTAGCGAGAGTTGCAATCTCATCATTTCATGAACTCTCATTCTCGTTTGACCGGGGGTTGAGGCTGCATTTTCTAGGTTTCACAACGTCAGGATTTTCGATTTTCGAAAAATTCTAAAAAAGTGTTAAAATGCTAAGTGCTAAATGCTAAAATGTTCCTACCCATGGTACATCGAGTTGATATACTTCTCTTTTTCCGCTCGGACCATGCATACGTGTACCGCCTTGAGCTTCACCTTCCTGATTCTTTTCGTCGTGGCAGGGGATTATGGAAGTTCAATACCAGCCATATGCAAGACCCTACCCTCACTGCTTTGGTCACTGATTTTTGGACGTATTGGACACAAATGAAACTTTAAGTGTATGGTGGGATGCTGGTAAAGTGAGACTTCAAGAAAAAAGCTTCCGACACAGTGGCGTAACGGACGAAGATGGGGCCCTTAGGTATATTTGGTGTGGGGGCCCTAGCTGTTTGTCATGTTTTCACTTGAAAATAATTTGAGAGCTGAAGCTTGTAAATTTACATTAGTGTATTACTTCATTAGTTATAGAAGTAATAGAACATGGATAATAGAGCCATGGTCGATGGACACTCTGTTATTTAATCTACCATCATTAATGCTGCATTTTCCTTTGCAATCAACCTCATACCTTAGGCCTATCTTTGGCATAACAATTTGTTTTTAACCTGACTTTTTTATGCGATACACTGACACGCCGTTTTTTCTTTAAGAACCGTGGCGATATAGACGGCAATCAATGGGCCCTCAACCTATATTGAAAAATCGTCAAAATTGACCAAAATAGTAAGTATTACCCCTTACCATTTTGGTCAATTTTGACGATTTTACAATGTTCTAAGAACAAACCAAATATGCTCTAAAATGAAAGATAGTAGTCTTAGGAAGCCATTTTTAGCATTTTAAGACAGTGCTTGAATAGTTTTCAAAATTTAAGGCTTACCTCTTACCATTTTGCTCAATTTTGACGATTTTTCAAAGTTCCAAATGCCAACTAAATATGCTCTAAAATGAAAGATATTAGTCTTAGGAAGCCATTTTTAGCATTTTAAGACAGTTTTTATTTGAACAGTTGAAAAAGTCGTCAAAATTTAGAGAAAAAGACTTACCCCTTAACATTTTGGTCAATTTTGACGACTTTTTCAACGGTTCAAAAAGTGCCTTAATTAAAATGCTAAAAATTGCTTCCTAAGACTAACATCTTTCATTTTAGAGCATATTTCGCTGGTTTTTGGAACATTGAAAAATCGTCAAAATTGACCAAAATGGTAAGGCTTACCCCTTACCATTTTGGTCAATTTTGACGACTTTTTCAACTGCTCAAAAACTGTCTTAAAATGCTAAAAATGGCTTCCTAAGACTAATATCTTTCATTTTAGAGCATATTTCGTTGGCATTTGGAACATTGAAAAATCGTCAAAAATTGACCAAAATGGTAAGGCTTACCCGTTACAATTGTGTCAATTTTGACGACTTTTTCAACTTTTCAAAAACTGTCTTAAAATGCTAAAAATGGCTTCCTAAGACTAATATCTTTCATTTTAGAGCATATTTCGTTGGCATTTGGAACATTGAAAAATCGTCAAAATTGAGCAAAATTTTAACACTTACCCCTTACCATTTTGGTCAATTTTGACAACTTTTTCAACGGTTCAAAAAATGCCTTAAAACGCTAAAAATGGCTTCCTAGGACTAGTATCTTTCATTTTAGAGCATATTTGGTTGCTTTATGGAACATTGAAAAAGTCGTCAATTTTGTCTTAAAGTATTAAAATGTATTATTTTACAGTAAGTATCAAAACAGATGCGGTGGCCTAGTGGTTAAGGCTACCGCCCTACCAGGTTGTGAGCGTAGGTTCGAGTCCTGCAAGGGGGAAGTGTAATTTTTCCCACCTAAGTTGCTATTTAATTTAAAATTCTGCGAATATGATTAAGTCGAATAAAGAACAAGAGCTTTTGATAAATGATGCTGTGGTCCAGTGGTTAGGGCAACGGCCTACCAGGTTGTAAGCCCAGGTTCGAATCCTGCATGGAAAAGGTTCGGAGTAACAAGACGCCTACTCAGGCGATCACTCGGGCTACAGTTATCTCGTAGTAACATGGCATGTTCGTGACACCCGCGCGAGAAACGATCCCAGGACGACCTCGATTGGTTCGAAGACTTCGTGCCGCCCACGCGTGATTTTTGTAAACTCGCGACGCAAAGGAAAAAACCGAGCCCATTTTACAACTCGGTCTACCTACGGTAGCCCGAGTAAAAACACCATTCATGATTAAGAGGGAATAGTCATGCTGTAACGACAATGGCCTCGCAAACTGTCAAGTTGTTGGTGGTTCGAATCTTACATGGGGTAAAATGTTTTCATTACGACCCGAAAGAATAGATTTAGGTAAGATAAAAAAACGAACCTGTGAATCATAAGGTCTCTTTTGGTCAAGTGTTGAAGGCAATGGTCTCGCAACATTCAAGTCGGTATTTCGAATCCTCAGAAGAATGATTTTCATTATTCACGCAAAAAAAGGATTGAGTTAAACATAGCCTTGAACGTCAAGCGCTGGTGGTCTAGTGGTGAAGACAACGTTCTCGCAATTTAGATGACCATGGTTCGAAACGTTATCTGGGCCTTTTTTTATTATGCTAGTTGCAACTTACAGACATGCGCCGTGCATGTAAGTGTACTGTCTTTAATTCTCTACGCATATGATGTATGCACGTGGTCATTCGTGCACTGTGTGGACTATTGCATGATGTCAAGAAAATTTTAAATGTCCTTAATTCACTTCATTCGTTGAAAAATTGACCGGTTTTAGGTTGCAGTAAATGCAGTGAGTGAAAACAGACACTTTACGTTTATTAAACGTACTTAAACGACATTGCAAAGCGAGAAAAAGTGAAATTAAGTATTTATAAACCCCGCGCAGTCGCAGTGAACGAGTAATAATCCCACAATAACCACATTGAGCAATGTCGTATATACTAAGCCGACAACTCTTGAACTCATACACCACAGGCACACACCGATTATTGTTATCTACTCATTTGGCAGGATTCTGCGGAAGAACTTTTGTTCTGGCATGTGTTAAGAGGAGATTGATTGTTCGAATCCTATTATAACCGTTTTTCATTATGAACTTCGTGAAAAGGATAAAGTAAATTAAATAACCATCGCCGTTCTGTACAAGATCGTGTAGTCTAGTGGTGAAGACAATGGTCTCTCAAGTGGTAAATCGCTGGTTCGAATCCTACCATAACCGTTTTTCATTATGAACTTCGTGAAAAGGATAAAGTAAATTAAATAACCATCGCCGTTCAGCACAAGATCGTGTAGTCTAGTGGTAAAGGCAATGGTCTCTCAAGTGGTAAATCGATGGTTCGAATCCTACCATAACCGTTTTTCAGTATGAACTTCGTGAAAAGGATAGAGTAAATTAAATAACCATAGCCTTTCAGCAAAAGATCTTGTAGTCTAGTGGTCAAGATGTTGGTCTCATGTGTTGACTGTCGAAGGTACGAATCTCGTTTTAGATGGAAATTTTAGTTATGAATATTACATGGTAAGGTTATGGAGAATAAGTTGTTGCAGGCTTCCAATAATCACCAGATAGCCTTGTGGTAAAGCCGTGGACTATCAAGTAGAAGATCGTGGTATCAAGAACAGTATGGTACGTTCCTCATGGCGGTGGAAAAAAAAATAAAAAAAATTAAAAAAAGGTATGGTAGGCATGTTACTCGGAGGAGGTTTGTACTCGCTTAATCTTTGCAAATCAAAGTTAATCTTTAGGGAAATCAGGGGATAGATAGGGTGAATGAGGGGTATATGAGTACAAAAAGACTTAGTAATTGGGCGGCCCGGGGCAAGGGGGCCTCGGCTCCCGGGGCAGGGGGAGGGTATAGGTGAGAAAACAGCATATAAAATGTTTAAGTCTTTTTGTACTCATTTAAACCTCTTTACCCCTATTTATCCTCCTATTTACTCCTATCTATCCCTACTTTTTCCTATCCTCACATACCCCTAACTATCCCCTAACACAATTAAATGTTTGAAGAAAGCTTGCTTTGAAAGTCAGGAAAGCCGGGGGAAAGAGAACCCCCCTCAGTCTACTCCTCGCCCAAGGCGAGGGCATATTCGCCCTCTCGCACTACTCCTCTCACACTCACAAATTCTCACTTTATTACCTTGTTCTTTTTCGGTTTATCCAGGGCTTGAACCATCGACTGTATACTTGGTAGATCATCGACTTCACCACTACACCACCAGTTCTTGTGGTGAAAGCCTACAGTTTTTTATTTTACTTAATCCTTTTCGGAAGGATCTTTGATGAAATGGAAGAAAAAAAACATTCCCATCTGGGACCCGAACCTCCGCCTTTAAACTTCGAGAGCA